TTGGGCGGACTTTTGGAGGAGTTGGAAGGTTTGGAGGGTTTAACGCCTATAAGAAGCCATTGCTGCGGCCGGGGGGTGCCCTTCAGCCATTGCTGTGGCCTTGTGGTGGCTTTGATGAATAAACATAATAAACCATGGTTATTAATTAGGGGATATTTGCCCAATAGTCATAATCTGATACTTACTGTAAATGGTACCCCCCAATTACTGTAAACATCCGTTCTATTCATCCAGGGTTGGCATCAACGGATGGGTGTTTATGGTATTTTATGGTAGAGATTTAAGATGATGCATCTGCAGGTTGGGTGAAAATCAACCAACGTGTAACTGGGGGCACCAGCTTCAATCCAACCATCACGAGAATGATTTGAAGTGCTTTCGACAGAGAATCTCTGCATTTTACTAAAAACCATTCCCGAGTCCCCAAAAAAACAATTCTTGGAGAAATTCAGAGTTTGGATCTGGGTACACTATCATTCCCAAGCCAAAAACCAGCCAATGTTGCTGCGTAAATCGGCCACATCGGTCGGCAGGAATTTTTTAACCCCTGAAGGGCCATGGTGCCATGGCCATCCCCCGTAGCGGCTACGATGGTGGGCACCAAATGATGCTAAACTCATCTGATCTCTGGTGAAATTTTTGCAAGAATTTCACATCCATCACTGAAAAACCTACAAATCCAACACTTCTAAGTCACAAAACCATATGAAATCTACCACACACACCCAAGTTAGAAACCGCAATTATATAGTTAGATCATGTTAGATCCATGCCTTTAAATTAAAAAAAAAAGTGGTGTCTTAAGTCATGGGGAATCCCCAAAACCATGGTAGTTTCAATACTACGTCATGGTCCCACCAAAATTTACATGACGACTGGATGATCCGGGGGGTACCCCCATGACTTAGGAAAGCCCCATGTTGGATCTCTGCTTGGTGGTTCATCCCACTGAGTAAGTGGGTTATAACCCCAGTTATAAATGGGATAAGTAGGGTTAATCCACTTATAACTGGGGTTATAACCCACTTACTAAGTGGGATGAGCCACCAAGTAGTAAACCCACAACTTCATCACAAAGGCCGCGCCTCCCTTGCGATAGTCGAAACTCTTTTTCACGGACCAACTGCCCAGCAGGTAGCCTAGGAAACCAGAATCACACACCGATCTCCAGCTGAAGCAGTAAGAATGCCTGGTTTAGATGACAGAAATGGAAGAATTCAACCAAGCAAACTTTGGAAGTTTATGACTTAGCTAAGTTGGTTGAAATGAAAAGGTTTTTGTGAACTTGATGGACCCAAACCTTAGCTAAGTTGCTCTGTCGGGATAACCGTTGGGTTTGTGGTATATTAATATACTGTCAGTATAGTTAGAATTACCCTCTGGTTATGTCAAAATAGCTATTGAAAATTGCCATTTATAGTGAGTTTTCCCATTAAAAATGGTGATTTTCAATAGCTATGTTAAATTACCAGAGGGTAGAATTAGTTCGATAGGTGAAAATAAACCAACAATTTCTGCTTCCATGGATTGAACTTGAAACATTGAACCAGAAACCATGGTGTTTTCACCCTCAAACATGGTGGTTCCTGTAAATTCTCCCTTCAACCAGTTCATGGCCAATCTTTGATAGTCCACAAAAAAATGTCATTTGTTGCTGGTTCGCTTCATTGATTTTCCATCAAAAAACATCCAAAAGCGATCCAGGCTTTTACACTACTCATCCAGTTGGTTACCAGTTGGTTGGGGATGATATAGCCATATTAACTATATCATATACGTGGTATCATTAACTATATCATATGACTCTACTAGTTGTAGTGGAGATATTCTACTAGTGGAGTATATTAACTAGTTATCATTAGTTTATCATATAACTATATAGTAGAATATCTCCACTAAATCACCATTAATAGATATATTCCCATTCAATTTTCATATTAATATAAATTATTCCATTGATATGGGAATATCAACTTAAATTAATCCATAGTTAACTAGTTATCTTGGTAAATTATAATAATTCACGAACCTGAATTTAAGGCCATAAAAGGGGATGATTTCCCTTACTAACCATGATTCCAGTGAGGGAGAACAGTGAGGTCGTTATAATTTACCCAGATACGTATATAAATACATATATTAGCTATTGAAAATGACCATTTATAGTTGATCTATCCACTCAAAATGGTGACTTTCCATAGTTATGTGACAGTTTACCAGAGGGTATATATCTGTTTTCCATGGGTTTTATGGGAAATTCCCCATGGGAAAATCCACCAAGCCACTCCGCACGGCCTCGCCGTTGCGCAGCACCGGGGCGAGTGAACCGAGTGCCGCAGCCATGGCATACACGTCTCCAATGGCTGGGGATGGTTACTGGTGGTTAATATATGGTTAATATATGGTTAATATATGGTTAATATATGGTTAATATTACTATTGGTTAATTTTGGTTAGTCCATATTTATATATTTGTGAAAATACATGTTATATACTAAAAAATCTCAAAAAGATATGACTCAAGTGACTGTGTTTTGACAACAGTTTAGCATGTTTGACCCATATTAGATTAGAGGTATCCTTGTTCAAGAAAACGAAGCTCCAGACTTTCTTCCCAGTGACTGGGGGAGATCAAGATGGGTCTGATGCTCAAAGGTACAGCGTCTTGTTGCTGGCACAATTTGCTGTGGATTCTACGCTTCAAACGTTTTCGAAGCCGGGTCACATCAAGTGATCAGCAAAGGATGAAATGAAAATGGAATCCATTTCCCCTACTGCTGGTGGATACTCATGGGTAGATAATCTATGAAAGACTGGTGCGTTCAACATATTCAACAACAATAGTAGAATCTTAGAATATAATAGAACATTGAATCTATTTCATGAACCAACTGGTGAGCGAGTGCTGATCCTTTCCGCCGTAATATCAAATACCCCCCAAGCAAACCCCTCATTTTAGGGGCCCATTGACAACTTGGAATGTAACGATATGGGATGGGATTAGATTAAACATACCATGGATGTACAATCCAAGCGCATCATCGTTAAGAAGATCAGTCTCCTGATTTTGATGGAAGCAACAAGCTCCCAATTGGTACCACATCAACAAGCCATTCACACGGTGAATCTTATATACCTGCCAAAAAAGCAATGTTTGCTGCTTCGGACTAGTGTTACAATCATTTTTACCATTGATAGCGAAAGATGAAAGTACTAGTTCGTATCGTCGGTTGACCCAGCTCTACAACCATTGTAACATACAGATATCAGATAGAGATTCATTATGTTAGTATATATAGATATAATTTAATGGACCATTGTTTATCGATAAAGATATATATAATAACTTATATAGAACATATATGGATATCTCTTCATTATAATAATCATTCCATTCATGTCCCCATCGCAACGAAAAAGCCTAACTGGGATTTCATGGGATTTCAATTTGGGGCTTTATAGGGATATCACGGGATATCATTGGATATCACGGGGATATGATGGGAATAGTTTGCGCACTGGAAAATCTTCATTTTCACTAGGTAAATCATAGAACTACATGGGCCATGTTCAATAGCTATGCTAACCTGCTAGAGGATAACCAGTTACGATGCGCGGCATGATCAATCTGAAATGTTTGGTAATTCTGGGCAAAAGCCAGAATTAGGTGATCCATCAATCCATGCCATTCAAAGTGTTGCAGTATGTTGCAGTGAAATGTCTGTGGTGTTTTATAAGCCTATGACCTAGTTCGATATATCTATATACATCTATATACCATAAACTATGTCACTCATAAACCAACTTAGCTAACTTGGCGCCACCTTTTTGTCGCCTTCTGGATAGATCAATCTTCCATATAAAAAGTTGAAGGTTAAGTTATAGCCTAGACTTCCACCAGCACCATGTGCTGTTCCGCCCCCTCACGAAGGCACCTCATCGTCTCCCATAGCAAAGTTTGTCCGGATCCGGATCCCATGTAAATCACTGGGGTTATAACCCACTTACGATTCGTGGGATGAGCCACCAAGCAGTGACCATCATTTTCGAATCATTTTCAGTATGCTTTTTAGTCATGATTCGCCGATGGATCATGGATCATCCCTGAGGGGTTGAACTTCACGCCCCGTGGTAACTCGTGGCATAGACTCTATGAGCAATTGCTAAGTCGCAACCCCAATTTCTTATGGAAAATGGATGGAAAATGGATTTAATCTATCACTATGAAAAGTGGGATGTTGTGACCTTCTAAATCTTTTTGGGGCTTACTCACATACGATCTATTAGTATCACTCAGCATAACTCTTTTTGGGACCCAGGATAAACCTAGCTTTCTTCAAATCTGACGGAAGAATGCGATCTGAGTTTGATTGGCGCATCGCAGCATGACCGTGAACCTTGCCCGTTCAAAGGAAAAATCCCTAAGCTTGTATGGGTTTTGATGGGAATGTAAATGTAATTAAGAATATTAAGAATAATCACCAATAGTTAATAAGTAATATAATTGTAAAAACCTGAAGCAATGCATGGTTGTTAAACATACAAATGTATGGCATTTTTGCAGATTTCCCAAAGGCAGAGAACCCGCTTTGAATTATAAAGAGGTCAGGATTAATATCCATACAGTCTAACCATTGATGAACCCCTTAAAATCCTACTAATTTCAATTCCCCATTACTCAGTGTCAGATAATCATGTATAATAGATATGTTACAAACAATGTTATACCTATATATCATTTAAGATATTTAATAGATATATGATGATATATTACAAACAGTGATAATCATTCATGTATTCCCATTTTTTTGTGTAATCAATGTGTTGCAATCAAATTCCCACTTGGTGGTTCATCCCACTTAGTAAGTGGGTTAGTTCACCCCAGTTATAAGTGGATTAACCCTACTTATCCCATTTATAACTGGGGTTATAACCCACTTACTAAGTGGGATGAACCACCAAGCAGACCCTTCCCGGCCGCTGAAAAAACCCTGTCTTTCTCACATCATCGTCTGAAAGATCGCTGAGGCAAACGGCAGCCGCGGAACCGTGCCGTCTTTGGACACAAAAACGCCCTCCACCGTGATGCCAACCAGGCCTGAGAAAAACCACATGAATCCCGACTCGCCAATCTTTGGCTATCCTGCAATACATAAAGTTGGTTACTGGTTGGTGGTTTCAACCTACCCCTCTGAAAAATATGACTTCGTCAGTTGGGATGATGAAATTCCCAATATTAATGGAAAAATAAAATTCATGTTCCAAACCACCAACCAGGTTAGTATAGATCCTCACTTTACCAGTAAATTCAGCTAGAAAACATCAACCAACTTTGCTAAGTCAACTTCTAACATCACCATTTGTAGCCATTTGGTGAAAAAAACAATTTGAAATCACCAAGTGGCTCACCATTTAAAATAATTTTCAAAACACCTTGTGAGAAGATGTGAAAAACCCATTTGAAATCACCATTTCTGTTGGCTCACCATTCAAAAACCTGTGAAATCACCATTTCTGTTGGTTAAATCACCATTTTTGTTGGTTAAATATGGTTAAATCACCATTTCCGTTGGTTAAATCACCATTTTTGTTGGTTAAATATGGTTAAATCACCATTTCTGTTGGTTAAATCACCATTTCTGGTGGTTAAATATGGTGAAATCACCCTTTTTCTCGGGTGAAATCTCCATATTTCTCCACCCAAAAAATCCAAAAAAAAAACCACCGCCTTCCCCCAGCAACAGCAGCAGGTCGTCGCCCGGCACGAAGGCCCACTCCGCCGGCGCGGCGCCGCGTTGCGACTCCATCTCAGGCGAAGGCATGGCCAGGCGGCCAGGGATGGCTTTCTACATGGAAAAGCACCAGGAAAATCATAGAAAAATAATCTACAAGGTGGTGCCCCATACTTAGCTAAATTGGTTTATAAGTCCAATATCTAGGGTTTATGGGGGTTATATCTATAGTTAATGGGGATTATAAACCAACTTATAACTGGGGGGTATCACCTTGTATCATCTATAATTGGTTATAGGTAAATCGAACCTATAATTTCAGATAATGTTAATTTCTATTTTTTGAAAAAATAAGTAAATCATCTATAATTATATATATACATAAAAAAGTAAGTAAATCATCTATAATTGAATGTGCAATCTATACCATAGCAAACTGTTAACGTACCAGGGGGTACCCTACTATAAACTAAGACTCAGAGATGTGGAAAAACACAACACATGTAGAGCATTTTCCGAGCAAACCAGTGGTCTTCCAAGCAAAAACCACCCAAAAAAACCATCATGTTAGCCCCATGTCCAAACAGAACCCCATTACATTACCATCTCCACCAGTCGCAGAACGCCCCACTCGTGTCGCATCAAAGCCACGTCGGAGGCCTTCCGGCTCTCTGCTCGGAAGAGGCCCAAACAACGCCTCGTTCGGCCAGGAGGAAACGGACGGAGTTTGCCTTACCATCCATATACGGAGATATCATGGGGATACAATGGTGATTTTGTAAAACAAATTACCTGATTTTACAGTTTCACCAGTGTAATAAATGACTGCTTGGTGGTTTCAACCAACCCCTCTGAAAAATATATGAGTTCGTCAGTTAGGATCATTATTCCCAATATATGGAAAGTCATAATCCAGCCATGTTCCAAACCACCAACCAGATGAGATCATGGAGTTCCCCATGAACAGATTCGACCTGATTCAACCAAAAACAGTGCGGATTTGACTCACCAAAAGTAGGATTCAACCGGTAGAGGTGTGGATTGCACCATCAAAAAAATATCACATTTGACTTTGGTCCCTTTGGGTATTGGGCACTGGAAAATTTGAATGAAGTGTTCAATAACACTGACAACACGTGACAACATGTGACAAAACATATCAATTGAGCGTTTCCTAAACTGTTGTATACTTCAAAACTTCAACTGTGACACAGAAAAACGCCGATAAACCTTGTGACCCTTGTATTTCACGATATTATAGGGCATGTTTGTTGCAAATAGTTGTTGATAGTTGTTGATAGTTTTTGATAGTTTTTGGGGGTCCCCTGGCGTGTCTGAAGATTACTGTAAATCCTCCACTGCACACCTTGCAGCTGTTGCATCATCACCCTCTTCTTTCCTGAGGCGTCGCTGCTGCGATGCGAATGGGTGGCATGGGTGGCATGGGTGGCATTGGGTGGCAGGGGTGGCAGGGGTAGCATGGGTATGTTTCAAACGCACTCACTGCATTACTACCAGCAGCTACATACAGTATATGACCAAACTACGCCTAGAGTGCATATGCGTCTATATACTATCCATATTACTATTATTATTAGCGTTTTTCTATTATTATCATTATACTATTGTTATTACTATTGTTATCATTATTCTGTACATACATATATCATCATTATATCCTAGAATCAACGAATTCTAACCCAAATCCACCAAAATATATATATATGTACATAGATCATCATTATATATACATATATATATATATATGTAATTATATAACTATATAATTATATATATGTATATATATGTGTATATATATATTACAAAATCTATTATAAAATATCCCAATCCACCAGACCTTCCTCTAACCACCGAAAACCATCGAGTTCCCCGTGCCCAGCGGCTCCAGGGGGTCCGCAAAGTCGCGCCAGAGCGCCGCGCAGAGCTTGCGCAGTTCCAGATCCGACCAGGCGGCCGCCTCCAAGGCAGCGTGGGGAGGTATAGCTGCTACGACGTATAACTGGGGTGTATATATATAGTATACATAGAATAGAATATATATATATTGAGATATAGATATAGTTAGTATAGATATAGCTATTATTATAGTATATAGTTATTATAGTAGTGTTTTAGTATAGTATAGTTATTATAGTTTTGTTGTGATAGTATAGTATGGCTATTAACGACTGACTAACTGGGATGCACATTCAAGTATACAGTATATATATATGTATATATGTATAGCTATATTGTTGGTTTCTACCACGTGAATTCTATCATGTGTGGTAGATATATACATATAAATCTCGTTAGGGTTTACAAATCAAACAAAGGTCCCATGGCTATAACTGGGATCTGCTCCAAATGGCTCCCCACTTTAAACCCATAATGTGGATGTTCAATGATTTTGGATGACTTTGGTGGGTTTGATGTTCTATAAATATAATTAAATATGTATGCATCGGTGTGTCCAATACTGGCAAATCCTGTGGCGTTCGGAACAGCATATTGTGGGTTTTTTGTAGGGAATACCCTCTGGTAATTTAACATAGCTATGGAAAATCACCATTTTTGATGGGAAAATCCACTATAAATGGCCATTTTCAATAGCTATGTTAAATTACCAGAGGGTATCCCACCTGTTCGCAATGTAGCACGAAAAAAGTCACCCATAAGTCACCCTGAAATGAGGGATCTATCATGATTTACCCGGCCTGGTAAACTGTCCCATAACGAACTGGAAAATCACCATTGTTCATAGCTAAATCATGGTAAATCAACGATTTCTATGGGCCATTGAAACAATAGTTTTTTGGATGTTTACCAGAGGGTATATATCCCATTAATATCCCATTGAATCACTATCAAATCCCATTAAATCACTATAAAATCCCATTAAATCACTACAAATGGCCATTAAGTCAACCTGTCTCCAGATGGGAATTTTCCACCAACCTGTCCCCAGGGCTGACCCTGACATCCCCGACGCCGCGGACGCCTCATCTTCGCCACGCGGCAACACAGCCACGATCAGTTTCCTCCAACCTTCAGTGGATTCAGGTGTCTGTTTGCTTCGCAATGAACAACATCGTGCATGTATCAGAACAAACATGCAGGCGGTAGGAGCATATTATATACGTATATATACTATACGATGTGTATGCATATGTATATTACACACATACGGTGTTATTTAGATATGAAAAAAGGCAAAAGAGAATTGTGTATAGAGTGAGTTCTTTGTAACTCTGCATTCCAGTCCTTATATCTAGAGTTACACATGTATAGTAACCCAAAACAAGACCAACAAGTGTAAAATGTCAAAAACAAAAAACAAATCTGATGATCATTGGGATCCATAAATCTCTAATCTCACTCTAGATTATATCCCACTAAACTAAACATTGGATATTTGCCTAAGGACCCCCCAACCAAAGAACACATCTTCCCCATCGATTGCAGGAGCAGTCGCCATCCCATCAGATGACTCGACTCGTGGCACATCCCATCCCGTCATCCCCTGGTATCCCATGACGGGAATGATATCAATGGTACCATGGATAGTATTGGGTTATGATAACATCCATTTGGCAAAATATAGATATGGTACCATAGTATGCTATCATAGTCATTTTGATATCATAGTCATGGATATGATGGTTATGATAGTTATGATATGCTATGATCCCACTTTCTAAATGATATCATCCATTTGGCAAAATGTCTGGAAGGCTATCGCCAATTTAATCGCCATGTGTTTTTGGGAAAATGATGATGATGTCCCGGGTTGAGAGGTGCACTATGTTCAGACAAATCGGTGCCAATCAGCCAGATACCCAACAAACCAACTTCTTAGCTGGTGAACGTAGATTCTATTGATACCAAAAGACTTTCCCTTATAAACCAACCATTTTGGGTACCCCAAACCCATTTGGTGGTTTCCATAAATGGGAGTACCCGAAAATGGATGGTTTATTTCAAAATCAAAAAAACAATGGATGATTGAGGGGTACCCCCATTATCCCATTCATGGAAACCCCCATTTGGCGCTCAAAATTCTTGGCTGGCTGGGGATTGCTGTGTCCCTTCGGCCCCGACGTCGCGCCCAGCTTGACCACTGCGACTCCGACATCTTGGCCGCCCCCTGTCGGTCGCCTGGGTGGAAAAACCACCGCGCAAGGGCTTCACCGATGTGAAAAAATGGCTGGTCTCATGGGATTTCAATGGGATTTTATGGGTTATTAATGGGATTTCATGGGTTTTTACTGGAATTTCTATGATTTAAGAGGCTTTAACAGGATCTACTGGGGTAGTAATGGGGTTCAATGCGGTTTGACGAGGTGCTAATGTGATCTTGCCGGGAGCGTTCAAAAAAAATTGAACATCTACCCCACTTTGCGGCAATTTTGATGGCAAAATGATAATTTTAATGAAGGCAGAAAAAAAAATTAGGGTTGAACATGGCTTAACCAACCGAAATCGGGGTCAACCGATTAAATGCAGCCAAGATTGTTTAACTGTTTAACTGTTTAACTGGCAAAAAATGCAAGAAAAATATGATTCCGCCACCAAACTTATTCAACAACGCCTTACAACGCCTTACAAGCTTTTCTAAGAGCCGCAGTAGCATTTTTCTGGTCGAAAGGTCATGTAGTAAACCTATGTAAATCCCATTTGGGGATTCTATGATTCGCATGAGCCATGGGGGATGCAACCCATGAACCGAATGACAATCAAACGTGCAAAGTGTACCTTGCATCATCTCACTAAGTAACTGAACAGTAACCTCTGGTAATTTGTTACATAGCTATTGAAAATGGCCATTTATAGTGGGTGTTCCCATGAAAAATGGTGATTTTCCATAGTTATGGGACAGTTTACCAGAGGGTACTATTTAGATCTCTGTTTGACCAACTCCACTTATTTTTATGTCCAGTTGCAAATATCCTGGGTGGGATCTTGATGGATCCCGAGTCGTCCTCGGTTTTTCTCCACCGAGCCACGCTTCCATCGGCCGTGCACCTGGCGCTTCTTCAGAATCAGCTCCCGCAGCTTCTGCCAGAGCTGAAGCTCCGGGAAATGGTCCCAGATCTGCCACGGCAAGGCCGGTTGCTGGATCTGGATCTGGATGGATTTGGAGCAAAAAAATCTTGGGGATGTCTGTAAAAATCTGACAAAAAATGTGAATCTGAAAAAATCTGAAAATCCATGAATGAAATAGATGATGCGAAAGGAAAGGATCGGTCTCTTGAGTGGTTAATCATGGAGTCATGACGGTACCTGACAATGTTTGCAAACATGGCATGGCTTCAGATCCTAAAAATGACGTGTCCATCGCGTAGCCAATACCGGGTAGAAGCCCAAGGGGCTGTGAGGGCTGTGACACAATTTTTGCGACTTCGAGAAGTGCTATGTTTCGTTGAAACCCGTTAGTTCGTTAGTCTACGTTTACAGGAGGATATTCTTTGGGCAACCTTTCTTTTGGCGGTCTCCCAAATTTTCCAGCTACTTGCTGGGGAAACTTTGCCACAAATGTTGGTCATAGGTTATATGTGTTTGCTCTGTATACATATGTTAATATTGTTAGATATTACTTTATACAATCAAATCTATATTATATATATACACTATAATATATATATATATGTATATATATTATAATATATATATATATAACATTATAACATTATATAATATATATATACATTATATAACCATCTTTTTGACCCCAGGATATACCCCAGGAGATCTGGTTCCCTTCTGCCATCCCCATGAGATCTTTTTGATGGTGAAGAGTTCGCTGTGGGAAATCATCTATAAATTGGAGATCATCTATGAATGAAAATGGGAAAATAGAATGGTTAAATGGGAAAATCTGGAAAATGGGAAAATCTGGAAAATGGAAAAATGTCCCATGTTCATATACCCTCTGATAAATTAACATAGACCCTGGCAGTCATCGGGGTTGGAAGATGAATGTTTCCATTAAACCTAGGCTATTTTCAGGGTCTGAGTCTATGTTTATTTACCAGAGGGATATGAAAATGGGAAATACTTGGTTTTTATAGAGCAAATGGGAAAATAATCTATAAATGGAGGTTTTTAATGGGACATCATCATCTATAGATGGAGGGTAGATCTCCACTTTCTATCATTGCACCTGCACGGGGATTTACTATTAGAATGTCAGAGAATGTCTTACCAGGAGAAGCATTGGAATGGTAAATCCCCAGTTCCTTTATGTTCCGTTGACAACTTGATTCCCAAAATAGATAACTAATCCACCAGCATAACAATGAGAAAAAATAAGAGTTTCATAAGTTTCACATCATAATTCAACATTTAATATTTAATTCCTACTCCAATTTGATACCCTCATCCTGATCCAACATTTTTCTTTGGCCAGGATCAAACCCACCATGGCCATTGCCGTGCCAGGCCATGGCCGAATGCCGTGCGCCTTGCTCCACTGCCTTCGCACACAGCCATCGCTTCCATCGCTCTCCACTTGCCTGACTTTGTCGTCACAGTCTCGCTGTTGATAGCTGTAGGGATGCTGAATCCCACGTGTTCAATGGGTTTTACTACGGGATTTCCATCGATTTTGATAATTTGGGATATATAATCTGTGAATCTGTATATGTCATCCTGGCTGATCATGGGTGATGTGGATTCTACTGGGATACCACATGGTGATAGCATGGTTTTCTTTCAACAGATCCGCCTTGGTACTCTGATCCCCTACCCTGGGGCGGGGGAGTACCTGCTTTTGACCCGCGACCTGCCATCAAGTTCGGTGTTTCTCGAAATTGTGGTACCCCAAACAAAACAAAACAATTCTGTTCCCCTTGAAAAATGTCCACTCTTGAATGATTTTGGGCCCCAAAAAACGACTTAAGAAGTCAACCAATCGGGAGACATATATAGGAAATTATAGGAATATGCAGCCCCTGCTGCATGGCAAGATGCGCGCAGCGCGCCAGCAAACACAAGAACTGAGCGCGGTAGCGCTTCGGGGCACAGTCATAGGCCGTTCCTTGCGGTGACAGCGGAAGATCCCACGGGTAACCGGTGGTTTTTTGTTGGTGACTTAACCCAACAAAATGAGAGATGTTAAGCACGAAAAAATGAGATTCATAGTTGATTAGTGTTGATTTATGTCAGCTAAGTTGGTTTACAGCGAAGATCACTGGGGTAATGGTAGACACATCGAAGTATTTTTTACTGAATGGGGCCAATAAATATGCCATCTGATGGGGAAAATGATCGAGCTGACGAGCCATTTTCCCGGGAAAACTCGACTGGGTCCCCAATCATCTCCAAACATGGCTACAGGAGCGCAACAGATGCACAAGTCTTTCCAGGATGTTGTAACCGATCTTTGCTTCTGATTTCCCGTTCTTCAATTTTTCTATACGTTTCAAGCTGCAAAGTGAGATTGGAGGAAGATAACACCTCTCTAAACATGGAAACCTCGTCCAAGTTATGTTTTTTTTTTTTGGAAACTGGTTTTCAGGTGTCTACCCATGGGGAATCTCCTCTATCTCCCATGGCCCATGGCTGGGTTGTATTTCCCAACTTTTTCGGACCCATGGCTTCCCCCATCCAAGTGGTGTGTGTTTCCACCCGAAAATGCTGTGATCATGACTCGACCAAGCATCTTAAGGCATCATGCGTCAGCACCTGACCGCGAAATCAGTGGATCAACACAAAAAAAACGCTTCCGTTTTTTTGGTTGCTGGGATTCAGCCATTCGAGTTATCCATAGTTATCCATGGAGAACCATAGTTATCCATAGTTATCCATAGTTATCAAGAGTTATCCAATGTATAATGGGAATGTAACAATGGGAAGTGATGGGAATTCGATAGAATTCAACATTTTGGATGCACCCTTTGGGGGATGATCGAATCATGATGAATCCCACCGATGCTGATGCTGGATATGCTGGTGGTATGTTGGAGAGTTCATGAACGTGAATGGACCACATTACTGAGAGGATTCATGAACTATCATAAGTAAATAATGGTCATTGGAACTATCATGAATATTACTGTGGTATGTTGGATAGTTCCTGAAGTTGGAAATGCGTCATGGTACATGTTGTGAACCCTATAGTAAACCATCCCCGATTGTACCATCATATGTTGTTGCTGTAATATGTATACCCTCTGGTAAACTAACATAGCTATGGTTTAAATCACCATTTTTAATGGGTAAATCCACATAAATCCACTATACATGGGCCATTTTCCATAGCTATGTTAGTTTACCAGAGGGTAGATATAATGCAACTCCCACCACCAAAACAAATTCGCCGGGTTCAATCTCCACTCCCTCGTGACATCTTGAAACTCATGGCCTATGCCCTGGTTTGATCCAGCTCCCATCTCCATATGTTTTATATCATCAATAGGCCATTCATGTCATGGTTATTGAGATTCATGTTCATTATATCAAAAAAAAATCATCAATAGCCCATGAAAAAACCATCTCCATTACTGGTTGGTGGTTGACCTACCCCTCTGAAAAATATGAAAGTCAATTGGAAGGATTATCCCATATATTATGGAAAATAAAAATGTTCCAAACCACCAACCAGATTATTGAGATTCATGTTCATTATATATCATTATATCAAATTATATCATCAATAGCCCATGAAAAAACCATCTCCATTATATGTTCATGTCCCATTAAATCTGTTTTTTTGGGTTGGTCATCACCTCCTCCCCCGCCTCTAACAGGCCCCCGCTCTCGCTGCGCCACTGTGCCAGCAACGCCTCTGTCGATGCGTGCGCCGCAGCCCAGGTGCCCTCGGGGAGTCCTGGGCTGCATGGGCTGTTCACCCATGACGAAACAGTGCATGATGAGTGGTTAGTTTTCATGGTACCCTCTGGTAAACTAACATAGCTATGGAAAATCACTATTTTTAATGGGTAAATCCACTATAAATGGCGGTTTTCCATAGTTACGTTAGTTTACCAGAGGGTAGTTTTCATGGTATCCTGGAAATGGTTTTCATGGTTATGGTATGTTATGGTGAATGTGAAGAGACATGTATCTTTGAAACTATTGAGGTTAATGGTGAGACTTCTGAAATGAATTATTCATGGTCAGTGGCATGCAAAAATCTCAGCAAAAATCTATGTTAAGATGGTAGCTGTTTTGGAGGCTTAACGGCTTAACCCAAAAACCATTCTGTAGAGGAAATTCTGTAGGAAATTCCCCTTGGAAGCTTTGGAAACACCACATGTTCAAACATCCCAAACTTACTGGTGCTTAGTATAGCAGGGAATTTTCGGGAATGATTCGGAATGATCCACAATAACTAACTATCAATCATGATCCCAGCAACCCCATTCCCAACCCATCCAGCCACCCTACGTAAAACGCACCAGTTAAAGGTCCAAGGCTCTGAGACAGGCCGCGGCTCGTTGCTGCGCCTGGGGAGGCACCACTCCTGCAGTTTCGGGCGATGGGCTATAGATGGCCCACGTACGGAGTTCTGAGTTACCCAACTTCAAATGATAAATGTTTTGATCTTCTGCAAACACCAAAGGGTAGATCAGGGGACCTGGGGACACCTGAAATGACCGAACGAAAATCATGAAAGCCAGCCTCAAAGCCGAGTAAGAAAATTGTGATGATTAACCGTTAATAACCATGCCTTTCCACTTGGAATCGCTATGTATGGGCATACCATGGTTTTTTTTAACCCACATAGTGCAGAGACACCCTTGAATGTTATTGACTTATTGACCCATTGGATCGAAACTAAAAAATACGACCAGAAGTGTCAACTTCAAGCAGGGCAGGGCCATCCCTTCACTTCATATGTGGTGGAAATTGTAGAACCCCAACGAGATGGATGGATTCCGCACTTTTGGATACTTTTGGACTGATTGCAACACGTTCAAAATTAGGATGTGTTCAAATGCCAAATCAATCATTGGCAATCCAACCTGCCATGAGCACCATGAGCTTTGACTTGACATTCGGCATTTCACTACGACATCGACGCCAACCGGATGCTTCCATGGGCTCCAACCAGAGCGCTGATTGTGGGACAATTCGAAAATCCCAATATGCCCAGGGCACCGCAAGAAAAACAATAAAATCCCCTCCCGGGTTCATATTGCGCACCCTTTTTTCATTAAAATCATTACTGGTTGGTGGTTGAGCCTACCCCTCTGAAAAATATGAGTTCGTCACTTGGGATGATGAAATTCCATTCCCAATATTAATGGAAAGTCATTCCAAATTCCATGGTTCCAGTCACCACCAACCAGATATAACCAGCTTATATTCTGGTCCCAAATATGTGTAAATCCCCATCCACTGGGGGTGTTTCAAATGAAGAGGATGGGATCAAAAGAAAGCAGAAAGTACCAGAGATCCCAGGACAACAACTGTAGACGTAGACTTTCGCGCTTCAACGACGGGTCGAATGCACGAAGATTTTTGCTGAAAAAAACAGTCGCGAAAACCAAATCAAAGGCCAAATGTTGTTGTTTTGCAATGAAAATTCTACTTATATCATCTTATATCATCTTATATCGATATATATCGATATGACATGACAGTTGGAATTAGCATGAAGCCATCAATCATCAATCACCATTGGGTGGTTCCTGAACATCAAGCAACATGTTGGAGCGGCTAAAGCTCGGAAGCATGGTGTGTTGAACCATGAAATAACTTTGAAAGGTGTGGCGAAATCTTACCATTTGTTGAAGCATCAAATGTTGACATTTTTGGAACCAATGGTGCTTAAAGAAGCAACCAATTCTGGCAAAATATGGCATCCCAAGCGGCCGGTTGAAGATTCGATACACCCCTTGAAGCCATGGTTTCGTATCATACGTCTTTTCATTTTGGGGTCCCATGTATGTACAGTATATCGGGGGTATTTAATATCATCTTGGCTCAAATGAAAATAATGTAATACAATACATATATGTATATATCATAGCCATTTTAGGATAGTTAAACCATGTTAAACCACCAGCTTTGATGGTCAACCCCTGTGAATTTCTACCGGCTCCTTGCCCTGCAAGGGCACAAACCGCAGCCAGCAGTCGGCAGGCTTCGGCCAGCAGAGCGCACTGAGGACGTTTCATCTGCATCTCATCTGCGAGATCCCAACACGGGGAGCTGAAAAAAAACGCTCGGGAGATAGCTATGGATGCGACTCAGACTGGGTAAAAATATGTGAAAAAAAATAAAATAAAACCCATCATTCATTGATAAACCGTTATCATACCCTAAAAATAGTGAGATGTTATCAATAAGTCAATAAGAGTCTTAGATGATATACTTCGCCTTGTTTGGGGCTTGACTCTGGTGTCATCAAACTTGGCTTTCCTCAAATCCCCAAACTCTGAAGTTTGCTGGGAAATTCGTCCATCTTTCTGGGGGAATTACAATGGATTATGTATGTTTGATTGTCCCATTGATGGCCAAGGATGGCCGCTTGGCCAAGTCTTTGGCTGTTGGAAAAAGTCCTGGATTTTTTTTGCAGATGAATGAGTATCAATCATGGTTAAAATATGTTAAAATCCCCACGCAGATGCACTTTTCCCTGCAACTTAGCTAGATGGCTATGGGATTATTGGTCCCATTTGAGATGACTTGACTGCCCATGTAGGGTTGATGAGCAACACCTAGATGAGAAGTGTCAAACACCTATTGGAAAGTAAAAATAAGATGCGTTGATGGAGATCCCCATCAAATCCCCAATCTGTAAAGGGTAGTATAACCCTCGAACTAGTTTTGTCTTATCAACCAATCATCATTTGTCAATTATATCACCATCAATGTTTGAAGCTCAAAACCACCCCAACAAGAAAAAATCGCTACTGTGAATCCCATGTTCCATTACTCCTCATGGGCCTACAATCATGATTTCTGGAGACATCCCCATTGTTGGTGGTCGAAACCCAGTCTTGATGATGAAATCCCAGCAAATCAACTCAGATTTGTTGATGAATATCATATTTCTGGTCATTAGTAGATCCCAATACAAATAGATCCCACTGTATACCATGAAATATACGCATTATATCATATCATATCCCCATAAAATGCTAATAATTAGTTATAATTATGATCAACCGACACAAAGGTCTCTAAAACCTTATCCTTACTGTTGGTTGCATATGTGCCATTGCGTACCCTGATTATGTCCCCTTACTTTCTTCCTTTACGCTCAGACTCGGGACAATCATCGCTGTAAGTATATCCCCAAACTGATGTGAGGATCCAATTACTGTTTGTTGTATTCCCATGATATGAATAATAAAGTGGTAAATGAAAATAGTGTCATATTGTATCCCCATGATATTAATACTGTTGTATCCCCATCATGTTCCATCATATTCCAATTACATTCTCTTCAAAGTGGCAAACAATCATCAATCTACGCCTACGCCGGGTTTTTTGATCATTTCAAATCAATTTTGTGATCTGATATGATTACTGGATTAAATTAGATCCCATGATAAATATCCTTTTGTGAATGTGAAATGAATGGAATTACCCTAGTTGCCACACATTTCCCTTAATATCCCATGAATTCAACCCCTTCAATCCCATTATGCATCCCATCAAAAACCAATGAAAACCATTGAAACCCATTAAAGGTCCATCAAAAACCATGAAAAACCCATCAAAACCACATTCAAAACCCTAAAAAACCGTTAAAACCTATGAAATCCCACAAAGAGCCTATTGATTTGCCCCGATCCCTTGAACCTCACCGTTTCTTCAGGCCGCCTTCGTCGCGGCTCCGGAAGGGGCCAGCCAGGATTCGCAGCAGGCGCCGCTGCTCCTCTAGGCCTGGGTTGAGGTGTTTTAAGTGGGAACAATCAATAAAGATCTAAACATGATGGGAATGAGATATGCAAATATGGTATCATGGGAATACATATATATATATCATATATTATCATAGATTTTATATATTGTATATTAAATATTATCTGCTATATAGTTAATATTATATATTGTATACTAAATGATATATATATATAATGTTAAATAAAGTTATATTGTTTTAATATATATATATATTATTATATATGTTAAATATCATATATTATATATTATATACGTTAAATATTATCGATTATATATTATATATTATATATTATATAGATATTTAAAAAAAAAACTATATGTTATATATCAAATATTATATAGTGTATATTATATGTTATATATTATTTATATATTATATATTAAAAAGATTGAATACATTGAATATATTAAATATATAAAATATATTAATATATTAAATATTTTAAATATATTAAAGATATAAAATATATTAAATATATTAAATACTTTAAATATATTAAATACATTAAATATATTTAATATAAAATTAATATATTAAATATTATAACTTTAGTATATTATATATTATAAAATTAGTATATTATATAGTATATATTATATATTAAATATTAAATATTATATGTTATATATTGAATAATATATATTGTATAGTATATCTTATATATTGAATTTTGTATATTGTATATTATATTATATTTGATATACTATATATTATATATTTAATATGTAATATTTAAAATATATATACTAAGTATTAAATATTATATATATGGTTTCAATAGATCCACAAATGAAATACTCTACATTATTATTCTTGGATATACAAATGATATATGTATAATGATTATGGAAGATTGTACAAGTGATATTATCTTTTACAAAAACCTTCGGGGGTTATATATAATATACATACATATATAATCCCGTCCCAAGTGTTAAATACTCCCATTGACTGGGACCCCCAGTCATGAACAGATCCAATGCTAAACAAGGGTTGTCTGGAGGGTGTTCACTATAACTGTAATATCAGATCAAAGGGCAGGTCTTACAATGAAACGTGAATGTTTGTTTTGCAACTTTTCACAATAACATATGATGTTCAACTGTTGGTTTCTACTAGCTTTGAACAGGTTTTTCTTCCCAAACACGGGAAAATATCATTGTTTAAAAGACACTGATATACATATATACATATATACATATATACATATATACATATATACATACATATATACATATATACATATATACATATATACATATATACATATATACATATATACATATATACATATATACATATATACATATATACATATATACATATATACATATATACATATATACATATATACATATATACATATATACATATATCATATATACATACACATATATATATATACGTGTGATGGATTTGACTGGAATATGTAAATATCAGCATTGGATGACACAACTGTACAACAGTTGGTGCTCGTCAGCTTGGATCCGTGTTTGCCCATGTGTCGTAATCAAACACGGCTGGAAAATCCCCTTGAAATGCCATGTTTGGTCGTGGGCTTCGCATTGCCATGCTTGGTCACCCAAGAAATCCCAAGAATATTTGAAAGCAACAGCTAGTTCCAGTGTGATATGCCCATTGTTCCTGCTTAAAATGATTTAAAATGTCTCCTATGCTTGGTAAATTGCGCCTGTCTCCAATGATTTGCTAAACCATGCTTCAACGAATTGGTGGCCACCCAGTCAATGAGATCTCTTCGTTGCCACATGTGAGGTGTATCGAAAACCTCTTGGAAAATCCCCAAAACCTGTGGGTTGGTAACCCTCCCGGAATCAAACGTGGCATTTGGAACATTCCCCTATTTAGTTCGATGATTTTCCCAGCAAACCTCCATTTTTTGGACGATGTTCCAGCCAAGTTTGATGACCGGAGGGTAACGGGAAATTCGAATGCCCAACATATTGGGAAGCCTCATTTGCTAACCAGCATCCTTATCAAAATGTTTGATTGTGAAAACCCCTATACTATAGCCTAAATGATGATCGAATTCGCATTTCACAAAGTAATCAATGATATAAACCAGGCTTCCTAATGGTTTATATTCAGCTGTGTTTAAACACTGTTTACACATAGGTTTATATATACTAGTATGTATAATATATTATTTTCTGGGCAAATTATAATAACTCACTAACCTGAAATAAGACCATATTGGGATAATTCCCCTTACTAACCATCATTCCAGTGAGGTCGCAGTGAGGTCGTTATAATTTACCCAGATATAAATATATATATATATACCCTCTGGTAATTTAACATAGCTATTGAAAATGACAATTTATAGTTGATCTATCCACTCAAAATGGTGACTTTCCATAGTTAGTTATGTTAGTTTACCAGAGAGTATATATCTGTTTTCTAGTGAATCTGCAACTATCAACAGCGCCCAGGTGCTGCTCTTCAGCTCGTCTTGCGCTTCCTTCAACCTGCGAAAGGCTTCGCCTCGATGACTCGGCGATGCCGGTGGCAAAATCCGAAGCGAAAAGAGGGAGAAATCATGGGGCTGTATATATTATATTATATTATATTATAATATCATTATCGCTACCATTATTTTCATTATATATATCATTATTGTTATATAGTAATTATCATTACTCAACCATTAATCACCATTAATCACCAATCATTGGCAACCATTACTGGTTGGTGCTTTGAACCCCTCTGAAAAACATGAGTTCGTCAGTTGGGATGATGAAATTCCCAATATATGGAAAGTCATAAAAGCCATGTTCCAAACCATCATCCAGTATATGTCATAATATATGTTATATAAATCAAATTAAATCAATAGTCAATATGTTATTCATAATTATATTAGAGTGGCGGACAAAATTACTTACTACTCGCAAAGGACATGGCCCAAGTGGTTGTCCCCTATCGGTTGTGAAGGTTTTCACACAAGTTTGAACATACCAAGTCCACTCCATACTACTTGAGTCTTCCGCTAATTTTGTCGGTTACTCATATATATATATATATCCAATCCGAAAAGAAATTGGAGAAACTGAACCCGGTACGTTGTCTTTTTGCGGCTTACTTTGAATGGTAATCGACAAATTGTGCCGTGTGCACTACAGAAACACATTGTTTTTTATTTGCAAAGTCGGGTTCCAAGATACATTGTACTCCAAAAAAGGTTGACTTCGTGCCATGTTTTAAAACGGAATTTTGTCTAATCCTGAAGTCGGGGCGAGCCAACTCCATCCAGAATTTCACGAGAATTCCCAATGCTTGTCCCATTGATGGGTCATGGCATCCTGGTTCATGGATACCCCCCTTATGTGCCATCGTCAAAACATGGTAGATGGATGTACATGGGCATGGTCGTCCAACCTTTTTGTCGGGAATCAACCCAAATGGCTATAGGTATACCCTCTGGTTATGTCAAAATAGCTATTGACAATTGCCATTGAAATAGTGAATTTTCCCATTGAACATTGTGATTTTCCATAGTTATCTAATGTTATCTAAATGTTTACCAGAGGGTATACCCATGAATATGTCTATGACCATCCCCTTCTATGGGAAAACAAAGCATGTAACTTGACCGTGGCACATCCGGTTTTCGGCTCGCCTGCGTCTGGGTGGTCCGGGTTTTTGTCTGGGTGCAAGGCGCGCGACAGTTGGCCTCAGACGGTAAGTATGGGAAACTAGTTTGGAAAATCATAGAACTAAACGGTGATGTCATGGGAATATTTACTGGGATATAAGATGATATAAGATGATGTAAGATGATATAAGATGATGTAACTGTATATGCCTAACAATATGATGTTTGGGTGTCTCTGAAAATGGTGGTTTTCCCTCCTTAAACGGCTATTTTTCCATGGGGGTTTCCATGATGATTCACCAATGGATTTAAGGGATTCCTGCACGCTAAACCCAACACATCTCCGAAAAAGTCTCCGCAATTAGCGGCATAAATTTCCCCATCGTGAAATACTTTGAACATGTCTACTTCAGTTGCTGGCCTTTTTTGCGATTGCCACAATGACCCATCAACTGATCTTCGCACTTGTGAATATTTAGTGGATTGATGTCAGTGGTAAACTCTTCAACGCCTAAAATAGAAAACACGCCCCAAGAAGGTTGTTTGCTCAGTAAAATTGCCCAAACCATAAACCCCTGAAAGATCGGGTGAAGTTTATCCATAAAGTTACCTCCTAATTGTCACTGATCGCAGTGTAATTCATTATATAGATGTTTATCTTTCTGCATCTCTTGCTGGAGTTACTATTTATAAACCCATCTAACCATTACAAATATATATATATATATACTGGTTGGTGGTTTCAACCCCTCTGAAAAATATGAGTTCGTCAAATGGGATTATTGTTCCCAATATGATGGGAAAGTCATAAAAGCCATGTCCCAAACCACCAGCCAGTATGTATATATATATATATATATAGGTAAATTATAATAATTCACTGACCTGAATTAAGGCCATGTGGGGATGATTCCCCTTACTAACCAGGATTTCCAGTGAGGGAGAACAGTGAGGTCGTTATAATTTACCCAGATATATATATATATATATACCCTCTGGTAATTTAACATAGCTATTGAAAATTACCATTTCCACTATTTCCACTATTTCCATGGCCATGAATATCGACCCGAATTCCAACAGTTACCTCCAGGAAATCCAACATGGCTTGCTGGAGAATCCCGGATCATGACGACTTTGACGATTTTCCCGGCGCACGTCTTGGTTATACCAACAATCAAGAACCCCAACTGCACCCCCAAAGTAGGGTTGTATATATCTGGCCAAATTACTTTAATTCTTACCTCGTCTCCCTCGTGTCTTAGTTTGTTCCCCATGATTACTGTCCTCGTTCGTTAATTTGCAGGTGCAAATTAAGGTTTTACCTCGTTAATTCGAAGGAAGAAAGTAGCTTGTGGGCCTTCTTTCCAGGGTCCAACCCCAAGGAAAAAAAACTTTTCAGCTTCCGAAAAGTTTTTTTCCACGATCCACGGTCTCTTGCAGGGATTTTTAAATCTGAGTCTGATCGGTCTTTGCGCTTCTTGCGCTTGGGTGGTGACATCTCTGACATTATCGCAGAGATGCAATGCTCTTCTGGAGCAACTCTGAATCCTACTGCTTCTGCAGCCGTCAACCCACGAAGCGGGCCTCTGGCGATAGAAAATAAAACTTTTTGGGGCCTGAAAAGTTTTTTTTCCTTCCTTGCCTGCTGACCGGCCTCTGGCGATAGAAAATAAAACTTTTTGGGGCCTGAAAAGTTTTTTTCCTTCCTTGCCTGCTGACCGGCCTCTGGCGATAGAAAATAAAACTTTTTGGGGCCTGAAGCTTTTGGGGCCTGAAAAGTTGTTTTTCCTTCCTTGCCTGCTGACCGGCCTCTGGCGATAGAAAATAAAACTTTTTGGGGCCTGAAAAGTTTTTTTTCCTTCCTTGCCTGCTGACCGGCCTCTGGCGATAGAAAATAAAACTTTTTGGGGCCTGAAAAGTTTTTTTCCTTCCTTGCCTGCTGACCGGCCTCTGGCGATAGAAAATAAAACTTTTTGGGGCCTGAAAAGTTTTTTTTCCTTCCTTGCCTGCTGACCGGCCTCTGGCGATAGAAAATAAAACTTTTTGGGGCCTGAAAAGTTTTTTTTCCTTCCTTGCCTGCTGACCGGCCTCTGGCGATAGAAAATAAAACTTTTTGGGGCCTGAAAAGTTTTTTTTCCTTCCTTGCCTGCTGACCGGCCTCTGGCGATAGAAAATAAAACTTTTTGGGGCCTGAAAAGTTTTTTTTCCTTCCTTGCCTGCTGACCGGCCTCTGGCGATAGAAAATAAAACTTTTTGGGGCCTGAAAAGTTTTTTTCCTTCCTTGCCTGCTGACCGGCCTCTGGCGATAGAAAATAAAACTTTTTGGGGCCTGAAAAGTTGTTTTTCCTTCCTTGCCTGCTGACCGGCCTCTGGCGATAGAAAATAAAACTTTTTGGGGCCTGAAAAGTTTTTTTTCCTTCCTTGCCTGCTGACCGGCCTCTGGCCCCCAAAAAAGTTTTTCTAGCCAAGCCCAAGCATGCAACAGAACCAATGCAAGGCTACCTCGTCGAGGTCGGCTAATTCTGATGAGCAAATTAAGGGCTGACCTCGCTAATTCCTGCAACCTGCCTCGTTGCCTCGGCTGTCCTCGCTATAATTTGTGCAGATATATATATATTATATATATATTATATTATATTATATTATACTATATTATATTATATTGTATTATACTATATTATATTATATTACATTATATTATATTATATTATATTATAATTATATATATATTATTATATATTATATATTATATATTATATATTATATATATTATATATATATACATCTTGCAAGTTGACTGCAGTGTTTTTAAATCATATGAAGTCCCTATGATTGCTTGTTGCTTAAACCATTTCAAAATTCTGCATGAAACTGACGCTGTTTCATTTTCCCGATCATATACCCATTACCAGAACGATCCTTTCAGCCGGTGTCTCCAAATACAGTCTATGCTGAATTCCCCATGTGTTTGTTGATTAAACCATATTAAAGTCCCAAGTCGATCAGTCGTTGTTCATCAGTTCATCCAGCTGGTTGACCCGTTGACCCAGGCCCAGAATATTTAAGTGTTTGTAGTTAACATCCATTAATATCCTATATACCATCAGTATAACCGATGTGCCCCATATTCATGGTTGTAAGTCCCATTATATCACCCAAAAACCCACAACAGTTACACGTTGGTTTATAATGTAATGAACTCATATTAAACCATAAACCATAGTTATAGCATCCAGTATCTACCGCAAACCCTAGTTATAGCACCCCTGAGAAAGATACAAGTTGGTTAAAGAATATTTTTAAAAAAAAATGATAGATTGAACCTTTTCTGCATCTGTTTAGGACTTATTATAAGTCTACAACTCCCATCCTGGCCCCACTTGTTAGTTGATACGAACTACCATCCTGTCCCGGCCCCATGTGTTAGTTAATATGAACTCTACCGTCAAAAAAAAAAATCTGAACTCAAAAAATCGACCCATAAAACCAGATCATCTGGTCATAAACCATTGCCACAGTTCATAAACTATAAACATCCACTAATTGGTGGTTTCAACCTGAAAAATATGAGTCAGTTGGGATTATGAAATTCCCAATATGATGGGAAAGTCATACAAAATTCCATGGTTCCAAACCACCAACCAGTTATGTTGGTTCATGATGATCAGGTATTGTCTCATTGTATTCCACTAATGGTATAACCATGAATTACCATTATATATAGTAATTCTCATTATTCAGCCATTAATTGCCATGAATCACCAACCAGTCCATAAATGGGAAAATCATCTATAAATGGGAAAATCATCTATAAATGGAGGTTTTTAACGAGAAATCATCCATAGATGGTAAATAACATTAGTCATTAACTAGTCCATAATAGTTAATGAACATCAGATATAATATCCATAGATAACATTAATAGTTAAAAATGTTCATTATGCCAATGACAACAATATCCATAATAGTTAACCAATGTTCACCAGATCCCCATCCGACCATCCACGCCATGGCACGGTACGCATACGCCACGTCCGGCTCTCCAAAGCCCCCGGAGGCACCCCCCAGGCGCAGCACGGCGCCCGCCAGGGGGCGTTGGCAGATCCTGGGGTCACTGCCATCGTTCCACCGGGGATTCCTATGGGATTTCTATGGTATTTCTATGATAGTTCTAAGGGATTACCTGAGGGATTACTATGGGGAATTCTATGTCTAATGGAAATCACCAGGAAAATTTGTAAAAAAAAACTAAATCGTAGGTGGTATCAAGTGAACCATTTCTAAGTGAAGCATCATAATATACCATAGATTGGTATGTCTATGATATTTCCATTGGGATTCCTATGGGATTCCATGCTTCCTGGGTGGCTTCGTCGACCCATCATGACCCATCACCCATCCTTGCGATCTCCTCAGAAGGGTCTCCCACCTAAGTCAGGGGATTCTCCCGAGCCAGATACTCGTTGTGGGATCACAAATGGCTTAGTCTATGGTTACCCTCTTTAAATGGGATATTAATGGGATTTACTGTAATGGAATATTAATGGGATTTTATAGTGATTCAATGGGATAGTAATGGGATATACCCTCTGGTTATGACTAACAGTTCGCCATGGTTTTTCGATGGCCCTAATCGAAATAGATGGTTTACCTATTAATAGCATGGTGGATCTTTCCATGGCTATGTTAAATAGCCAGACGGTAATATTTTTTTTTTAGTGGTATGGGATGGTTTGAGATTGTTTAACCCTAACTTACCTAACATAGATGTGGAATATCCAGTTTCTACTAAGAGTCCATCGTCAATCTGTGGGTTCTACGGTGTTGTACACTCCAGTACACATACAATAAGATATGGGAAAATCCATTCCCAGCTCTACACACAGGTCATCCGATCCTTGCTGTGGAGCATGAAGAATTGGGGATCGAAAAGCACCGACAAATTGTGAAAGTCACCGAAAACCATAAGAAAACCATCACCATATCAGGACCCACTTGGGATTGACTTGGGACCCAGTTGAGACAGTTGAAGTTGTTTTTCCAAAAAAGGTTACCACCAACCCAGTTTGTTGCAACCACCTGTCTCTGGTGAAGTCTTAGTAGCCGGGACCCTTTCGCCTGTTATGATGCTGCATCACTATTGGTTATTGATTTTGAAAATGGGGATATGGTTATAATGAATGGTTCATTTCATAATTTTCAAAAGATGGTATTCCATATATATGTGTATGTAATTATATATGTATGTATGTATGTGTGTATATATATAATGCATTCCCATGTTGTTACATGTATATATATATATATTCCCATTTGATCCCATAGATTGTTGAGAATTGGGGATGGTTTGTCAATGCTCATCAGTCAATACGTCCCAGATTCGATCCGACAGCTCCAATCTCCCCATCCCTGCCGCTTTGAAGATTTCAGTGAAACCACTGACCAGATTACCCTCTGGTTATGACTGAATAGCTATGGAAAGACATATTCTGCCACAGTGTCCTTGGACGTATTCTTCATATCCGTGGATCTTCCATCCCCATCCACTGAGGCCAGGATCGTGAAAAATAACATAAAAATCTTTAAAAATGCCCATCTCCATCCATCTCCACTATATCCCCTTTCATGTCAAAAATTGGCTCTAATTCTTCACCCATGAATATCCTCAGATTGAAGATCCTCACTGGTGCTTTGAATATCCTTTAAAAAAAAAAAATCTAAGAAACCAAAAAACCTCCATCAAGAATCTCCGTGAATAACCCCCATGAAGATCTCAAAAAGTGTAAGTTAATAGTTCCAAGATCATCTGTTCTTAACATGTCATGACCATCTAGTAACATCCATAAAACATCTACTATTAGGACTCTCTTAGAGTATATAATGGAATCCTAATTCCCAGTAAAGAATTATATCTAATTATATCTATTTATTAGATATACACTATTATAAATTCCGAGTATAATTGGGATATCTAACTACAAAAAGTAATAGTATATAGAGTTTCATTACTATTTACATCTATTTACCTATTCACTCATTAACCATCTCTATTAACTAATGGGTGATTAATTAAGATGCAAAATTCATTATTCAAATTATTATTCTATTCGCCCATTAAGATCATTAAGATCCCAATTAACCGATCCCATCTATAGTTTCAATTGAGCCATCAAAAATACCCCTATCCCATCTCATTATACTAGTTGGTTGAAAATGGTTTCCCTGCCTGGGTTATCAATGGTTATCATAATCCCCAGTAAACCAAGTAGTGTAATCCCCTATAGCAATCAATTAACCATACTATTTCTAATGGTTCAATTAACCATCTTATACAATTATTCTATATTGTTCTATTCAACCATTAAAATCCTAAAACATATCCTATCCCATTCTACGGTTTCAATTAATTCCAAGATCATCTGTTCCAAGATAATCTGTTCTATAATATAGAGTTTCATGAAACTATTTACCTATTCACCCATTAACCATCTCTATTAACTAATGGGTAAATAATTAAGATGCTGAATTCATTATTCAAATGATTATTCTATTCACCCATTAAGATCATTAAGATCCTAATGAACCTATCCCGTTCTATACTTTCAATTAACTATAGAAATTTATAATTATATGGAGTGTCATTACTATTTAATATACATCTATTTAATTACCTATTCATCCAGTACTAGCTTCCATTAACTGCCATGGTAAATAACTATTAACCTGGTTGGTGGTTTTAACCACTCTGAAAAATATGAAAGTCAGTTGGGATGATGAAATGCCCAATATATGGAAAGTCATAAAATTCATGTTCCAAACCACCAACCAGTAACTATTGGATTTGATATAGTTGATATAGTTGGTATGGTTGATGTAGTTGATAAATTTCAATTAACTGCCATAGTAAATCAATGGGAAAATCATCTATAAATGGGAAAATCATCTATAAATGGAGGTGTTTAACGAGAAATCATCTATAGATGGTAAAGGACTATTAACTATAGATAGATAGTTGCCATTACTATTAACTATTAACCATTCACTATTAACTATTAACTATTAACTATTAACCACCAACCAGATAGGTAAATAACTATTACCATCTGATTATGACTAACATAGCCATGGTATAGATGGCCCATAGAAATAGATGGTTTACCTGGGTTTACCTATTAATAGCATGGTGGATCTTTCCATGGCAAACTGTTAGTCATAACCAGACGGTAACTACCAGACAATAATAGTGATAAACAACAAACCAGAAATAATCATCTATAAATGGAGGTGTTTAATGAGAAATCATCTATCTGGTAAATAACTATTACCCTCTGGTAAACGTTTACATAACTATGGAAAATCACCATGCTATTAATGGGAAAACTCACGATTTCAATGGCCATTTTCAATAGCAAACTGTTAGTCATAACCAGAGGGTAGTTTTCATGGTATCCTGGGTTTACCTGGCTTTACCTATAAAAAATGGTGGATCTTTCCATGGCAAACTGTTCAATAACTATAGATAGATAGTTGCCATTACTATTAATCATTCACTATTAACTATTAACCACCAACCAGATAGGTAAATGACTATTAACTACTGATGGAGGCTATTAACTAATTAACCCTGATGTAGTCCCAATTTTCCATGGCAAACTGTTCAATGACTATAGATAGATAGTTGCCATTACTATTAATCATTCACTATTAACTATTAACCACCAACCAGATAGGTAAATGACTATTAACTACTGATGGAGGCTATTAACTAATTAACCCTGATGTAGTCCCAATTTTCCATGGCAAACTGTTCAATAACTATAGATAGATAGTTGCCATTACTATTAATCATTCACTATTAACTATTAACCACCAACCAGATAGGTAAATGACTATTAACTACTGATGGAGGCTATTAACTAATTAACCCTGATGTAGTCCCAATTTTCCATGGCAAACTGTTCAATAACTATAGATAGATAGTTGCCATTACTCTTAATCATTCACTATTAACCACCAACCAGATAGGTAAATGACTATTAACTACTGATGGAGGCTATTAACTAATTAACCCTGATGTAGTCCCAATTTTCCATGGCAAACTGTTCAATAACTATAGATAGATAGTTGCCATTACTATTAATCATTCACTATTAACTATTAACCACCAACCAGATAGGTAAATGACTATTAACTACTGATGGAGGCTATTAACTAATTAACCCTGATGTAGTCCCAATTTTCCATGGCAAACTGTTCAATAACTATAGATAGATAGTTGCCATTACTATTAACCATTCACTATTAACTATTAACCACCAACCAGATACAGTTAAATAATTAATAGTGAATGGTTAATAGTTAGTTACCATTACTATAGTGATGGTAGTTAAGACACGATTAACCATTACTATTAACTATTAACTACCATCAATATCCCATTGAATCACTATAAAATCCCATGAATATCCACTATAAATGGCCATTTTCAATAGCTATGTTAGTCATAACCAGAGGGTAACTACCATCAATAGTTTCACCGAGGCGCCAGGATTTTGAAACTGCCATGGTGCGCCTCTGCGGCTTCGCTCAGCGCCACCCGGACCTCGCTCTTGGGCGCGAACCAGGGGTCGTCGCCTCGCGAGGCATGGCCAGTTGGCCGTTGGAAAACGGGTTTGTTGGAAGTGAAGATTCTGGAAATATAGTGGAAAAGTATGGAAATTATGTAAATATATATAATATATGGAAGATTCTGGAAATCTAGTGGAAAATCTATCATTTAGGGAATTGTCCCATTGACATCTCCTTTCTTTTGATTTGTTCCGGCCAGCCACGTTCGATTAACGGAGGGTGTTGGAAACATGTAGAAAAAATTAGCTGGAGATCGATTTTGACACCAAAAAAACTGAAACCGGAGAAAAGATGTGGATGTCAACTTTGAAAGCAAGAACATATTCGGGAGCTCACACACACAAAATTGGGTCTTAGACTTAGATTGTTAAGCTGCAAAAATCATCAAAAATCTGGATTTGGCCATTCAAAGCTCAACAAGTCAACGGTGCAAAATCAGTCCATGAGTTTACTGACCCAGCACCCAAATTTTGACCCATCCCCAAATCCGTGAAACATGTGATGATTATGTATATGTGTTTCCATGATATTTAATACATCCCCAAGATATCAGTAGTTTCCCAAGTCCGTAAAAATGTGTTTTACTTAAGTGTTCCACTTAAAAAGTGTGTTGGGAACCCAAACCACCACCGTTTTTGTTCACCCAATGACGTCATGTTGAAAATAAAGGTAGCTTCTGTACCCTCAACCTTCGGTTCCCCATTGGTCTCAGCATCAGCAAAGCTGTGCAGGAAGAGGACGAATCTATGCTTCAAAATCCATCAAAATCCTCCTGGTTACCTCCACAAATTCAACTGGTTGGTGCTTTCAACCCCTCTGAAAAATATGAGTTCGTCAGTTGGGGTTGCTATCTATTCCCAACTGAATGGAAAGTCCATGAAAATTCAATTGTTCCAAACCACCCACCAGTCAACCTTTGCCGGAATTCATGATCCAGGAATGATCCATTGGTTACACTTCGATGATTCATCCCTTAAGTCATCCCTTAAGTCAATGGATTGGTTTAAGGGAAACTTTACAGGAAACCATAGATTTTCCCATTAAAGATGGGGCTTTCCTGTAAATTTTCCCTGAATCCAATCCATCCCTTAGTCATCCCTTAAGTTCGCGTTGGCGCAAAAGGCCGAGACACCAAAGGCTTCCACACCATCCTGGGCGTTTCATGATGACCTCTGAGGGATGGCGCACAAATCCACGGAGTTAAAACACTGGTTAAAGATGGTTAAAGCAGGTTTACCCTCTGGTAAACGTTTACATAACTATGGAAAATCACCATGTTTAATGGGAAAATCCACTATAAATGGTCATTTTCAATAGCTACGTTAAATTACCAGAGGGTAAAGCCACAAAGAAACTGAGATATGTTTGAGACCTGAATTTATCCCAATTCCACTATGTCTGTCCATCTTTTTGCTGGGGTGCCAGCCTCACAAGACTTGGGGTTTCAAATCCATTTCTGGGTGTTTTCTAAAATTCGGGTACCCCCAAAGCCCATTTAGGTTGTATTTGATATTGGGGTGGGATTAACTAATAGCTAGCTCATGCAGGAATAGTCAAACATAGATGGATCATACAATTACGTATATTCCATTCATATCCCTGATTGTATCCCATTTGAATTGAGATAAATAAGCTGCATTCTCGTTATATTCCCTTTTCGTATTAGATTATCCGCTATTATCAATAATATTATTATCCATTAATCTCCACTAATGATTGTGAAACAACAAGTATACTACCCTCATTTCCTTGGTGAAGGGAAAATCTACAGGAACAAAAAACCTATACGTGGTACTAAAAACCTTAGTTTCCTCTAAATGTTCCCTTCAACCAATCCATACCCATCCGGGCCATCGCGCCTGCGGTGGTGGCAGCTCCTTGGGCTTCTGCCGCAGGCTGCAGCGCAGCCGGTCCAGCTCCTCGTCGTCGCACGTGTCCAACTCCGGTAACGGCGGTGGCAGGGGCGGCGCCTGGTGATGCCGGGAGGGATGTGCGGCTGGAGATGCATCTTAGATGGTAAGGCATTAAGGAGGCTATAAACCATAATATAATTATATATATAACCCATATATCACTAGGGATAGTCCATTTATGATGGTATATATATATATATATGTATATATGATATATATATATAATGTAATCACTTACCGGCTGGGATACACCCGAGAGTATAACTGCTGAATTCTGCTCATACTGAAATGTCTTCCAGGAACACTAAAGTTCTTGTGGATGGTTGCTGGTAGGTTCCAACTTCGCAACTTACACTCATTTTGATAGGTAGCGAACAGGAAAATCACCATTTTGATAGGTAAATCATCATAAATCATCCAACTAAATGGTTCATTTTCAATAGATATGTTAAGTAACCAGAGGATATCGTCCGAATCATACTGGATTCTGGTAGTTGTACTGTCGTGCTCATAGTTCCCACACTTGCAGAGCCAAAGTAGTTGCATACCCACCCTACATTCCAGAACGAGTGCCGACTCAGTAACACTGTGTGCCACCAATGCTGGCTCTAGAACTCTACTTGTCGTGGTTTAAGTATGGTATACTCTGTCTATCAAAAAATAAAACACATACCATGAAACATATGACAAAAAATAAATGTCTACATACAGCATACTTACAAAACTTACACAAAATGGATCTACAAATATAGTATATCACGGATAATAAAAGATGTATTGTATTCATATATATATATATACATATCATATATATATATATTAACGTATTGTATATATTTATATATTTATCATGTAACCTGCATAACACCCCACCGGCCCCCTCCCACCCCCTTTACCTCTGCTGCTGGCGCAGCTTTCTCGGGCTTTGGCACGGCGGGCTCATCGTGGCTCGCCTGAGACAGAAGCCTCGGGCGGCGAAGGTTTTTCGGTTTTTCCTCACAGAGTGGGACAAAATGGTGATTTTAATGGGATGCATAGCTGATTTATCACCATTAAAATCACCATTAAAATCACCATTAAAATAGCATTGTCCCACCCTGATTAATCACCATTAAATTTTATTAATTAATCCCATTTTAATGGTGATTTTATGATAGCTATATACCTTGGTTTTTCAAGAACTATGATGTTTCTGGGGCTAAAAATGTATAAAATAACTATAATTGCAATATATTACAACTATAAGACTATAATTATAACTATAATCATAACTATAGTTAGATGGGTTAACAAAACCAATTTATAACCTTTTAGGGGCACCTTGCATTAAATCTCATTAGATCCCCATGTTTTTCTCTATCTCCCAATGTCATAATGATTGAACCATATTAAACCTGCATATTTGATGCTTCAAACACCTATGTCTGTGGCAAAAATCAGATTAATGACTATTCCTATCAGATCAATTCGTAAGTTGCTTCACCCACTTCCATCAACCATATCTCTCTTTGCTATTCGGTGGAATTTTCCGATTCCATGAAATTCTCATTTAAAACCGCGGCTTTTCCCATGGGTTTCCCCGCTGGCCACTACATTTTACCACTGCAAAAAATCAAGTACTAAAATGGGGGGTTCCAGAAATTGATGTACCCCATTTCATGGTTGGTTTATGGAAAATCCCATCAATGGATAATCTAGAGGTACCATGACTTAGGTTTCACTGTTTCACCTCCATTCAGCTGGAGTTCTTCCAGTTCTTCGCCGTGGCACCGCTTCAGGATGCCTTGCTTCACCGCCGGCAGCGCCTTTCGCAACTTCTCCGCCGGCAGGGCCTGGAGCGACGTCAGCGCCATCGCCTGGAGGGGAAAGTCCCTTGCGCTTTCCAGATTTTTGGACCCAAAAATGTGGGAAAAATAGATGTGTTTATATGTTTTTATAGGAACATCTGTTTTTATACCATCTGAATATGTAAAAAATCTGCATCTAGATCAGGCAAATATGGGAAATGAATGTGTTTTAAGGCCATTTTGAGCGTTGAAACCATGCAGTTCCACGTTGGGAGAACGTATTTCGGGCGAATTTTGTTAGGTCCAGACACGTGATGAACCCTCTAGTTTTATACTTAACCCTAAAACCCATTTCAGTGGCCCTTTGAGTCTTGGTCTTGGTTTTTGGGGACAAAAAAAAACGTCGTTCACGGGATCTGTTTGTACGGGTGAATACACTTTGGTATACATAAATGTATATCTTTGAATAAATCCTTCTTTGGGATAAAAGTCGTGATGTTACAGTATCTAGACAGCACTGCAAATTTACCAACTACTTTACACACGAACTCCATGAGTCATCGAAAGGCTCTTGCAAACCTTCATCCAAAAGAACCATAACTGTCCCAAGCAAGCTATCAACTTAATGCATCTAAATGCAACCTTTGCTTTTGCCAAGTTCGGGTTGAATGGGTGTTGTGGCTGTGTCATGGCACTAATAACCATACATGTTGAAAAAGGTGATGGCGAGGATGTTGGTGGTGGTCATGGTGGTGATAACAAGAATCATTCTCTAATAGCAATAATAACATATGACAATGAAACCGTTTATATGTCGTTTGAGAACAAACTTTGTTCAACATCATCATCATCAACAACATCATCATCATCATCATCATTGCGGTTGTACCACCACTATGCCAAGTATGTTGGTTGAATAACCATTTCCGTGAGTCAAACCATCGGTGTCATCATAGTCACTGCAAGGTGGTGTGTTCAATCCTTAGCTAAGTTGGGTTCAGCATATATAACTATAGCTTGAACTATGGCCCATGGTGGGCATATATATATATATATGGACATATCTACGGTCATATATCCATAATTATCCATATATCAGTCCATATATACTGGTTTGAAACTAAACCAGTCGATATATCCATATATCAGTCCATATATTGGTTTTGTTATATACTGGTGTGAAACTCAACCAAACATTGCACAGTTTGCACGCCATCCATGCCATGCATTGACCCATTGACCCGTTGAGCGAGCCTCTGCACGCTGTTCCAGCACATCCCTGAAGGGACGTAGGGGATCCGTTGCGGTTGCAGGATAATTATATAATGTATCATGTAGATTCGCAAGTATAAGATTCTGCTAGGTTCAAGGATTAGCTACAAGTTGGTTATAGAATCCAGGAACATCTCAATTTTCGTAGGTCTAGTTCAAGTTAGATTAGCGAAACATAGCGAAACTAGCCGATCATGTCATTGAGAAACTCAATTCGTACCTCCAACTGGCTCCCCACTAAATTTTCGGGAATATGGATACCCTTAGCTCCTGAGCTCCCTCCAAAAAAAATCAAAGGAATAGTCCATTAGTCCTATGACTATTATTAGCCACTACTGACCATACTATGAATCATACTGACCATACTATGAATCATGGTTATTCCTCCATTCACCACCAAGTTTCGTAGCTATGAAGAACAAGACCCGACCTCTCTTCATCGCTCAGAATCACCTCCACCTCGGCGCCCAGGCTGCTTTCAACCAAGGAAAATATGTGGATAAAAAATGGCTGATTCAACCATTAAACAATGGGAATTTAGGCATCAAACATGGATTTAACATGGATTTAACCATCAAAAATGTGTGGAAATAACTATAAAAACATGGTGATTGAAGCATCGAATAACGGATTTGAAGCCACCAAAATATGTTAAAAATTGATTCATCAAATGTTAAAGTTGGTGCTTGAGCCATCCATTAAAATGCGAGAGGTCATTTGGATCATCATCGCAGAAAAGGATCAAACAAAAAAGACAGCAACCTCAAAAAAGATGCAGAAAAGTACTAATCATTACATATATATATATATGTGTGTGTGTGAGGATTTCTACTACCCTCCAGTAAACTAACATAGCAATGGAAAATAGAAAATTCGAGATGATTTGCCTCTAAACAAAGGTGGTTTCCATAGCTGCCATAGCTATGTTAGTTTACCAAAGAGTACAGTAACCTCTGCTTAAAACTACCCAAATGGTGGATCTCATACCCATGCCGTGACCGTGACCAGAATTTTCTGGTCGTCATGGTGAACTCCTCTATTGGCTGAAATTCCCCATATCACAAGTGGTTTCCAAAGTTCATGAACTATAGATGTATCCACCAAAAACCCTATATAATACCTAGTTATGTCAACCAACTTAGACTAAGAATTGGTGAAACCACCTTGGGTCTTTGTCCTCTTTGTCCCGATAACGAAAATCTCCCGAAACCAAAACTCCAATTCGGCCTGTGAGGAATGATGCGCCGGCGCCATGCTGGAGGGATGCTGTCAATGTGGGTAAAACAATGCCATTTTTACCACACATGACTGGGACTGGTAAAACTACCACCTATTTCTGGTGATTTGCGGGATGGTTTACTAGTGTTCTACCCACAGTACTTTTATTAGGAAAATCATTGAACTACATGGGTGATATTCCATTGCCATGTTTGATTACGAGAGGGTTTCTATGCGTCTCTTGGTATATGAATCATACAGTATCATACTCTTAAACCTCCCATGCATGACCTTAAAAAAACACTAAAAACAAATCTAAACAATTGATCTGGATAAACTCTAATACACCTATGCAAATCGCAAGTGGCAGCTGAGCCTTTTCTCAACTGCTCAGGCGTGCATTCCCCTACACGCTAAGGGCCTTGAGCCCATGTCCGCTGGGCGATCGGCCAGCTGTTTGTAGTCTTCAAATGGGTGAGAATGCTTTGTTCAATTGACGGTGTGTGAAAAGTGCACTTCTTCATGCACCACACTTTAAGTTGAACAAAGCATACAGATCTAACAGGGTATTATGACCAGTCTCCGTGAGTGACCATTTTCCAACACTCATGACTCTACGAAGGAAGTTCGGGTTCATCTTTTTGGTTAAAGAGTCCGATACCATGTTAGTACCCCCGACCCAACGCACCTGACCACCAGTTTTCTCCAAGTCTCCTTTCAAGATCGTCAGATCGATGGCAGTCCGCTTGTCGTCTATGTGGGCAGAGGTGTTTCGGCACTTGTTGATGGTGTCGTAGAGCGATCGAGAGTCTGTCACAGCGATGAAGGGCTGGTCCTTGAGCTGGGCCTCCCAATTGTCGATGTTCAAGTCCTTGGCGGTCACTTCGGCCATCAGGAATCGGTGCCAGTGTAGGTTACCAATTCCCTGCAGCATAGATTGTGACTCTGCCGACAGTGTATTCACTGTGCATCGTTTCAATCGGTAGCTCTTCCAGCTAGCGATGGTGATGTTGGACAGGCCGTCCTCGGTCTCCAGGTTGGAGTCATAGTACACCAAGAGGTATCCTCCTTGACTGTGCTTCTTCGCCAGCTGCATGAATCTCTCGTTGATCGGTCGGTTGATCTCCTCCTCGACGTTTGACTTCATAAAGGTCGTAGTGCCTCTCCAGGCCGTACCTTCTTCATGTTCTCTGATTCCATCCTTATCGTCCCACTTGTCCCTGTGAAGTCCACTGTCGGTCGTCGTGAGGCGTTGTCGAGAGATCCTGTGTAGATCTGGTCCTCCAGGTGCTGCTCCAGGGTGGAAAAGTAGTCGTCTTGGAAGAAGATGGTGTCTTATCCAAGACGTGGCGGTCTCCTCCCAGTAGTCCTTGTTCCCTTCTTCCAGGAATCCTCCTCCTGCATTTCCCCAGCTCGCATCGGTGATCACTCCGACCCTGAGGCGACTCATAGGAATCGGTTGTACTACGATTCCTAGTTCAGGTCTTTTCTTCAGCTCCTCAGCTACTCCGTTAGCCTCTACCAAGTCTTTGACCATTGGTTGTGGCATAGTTTGTTGTAACAAGGCCACACGACCGGAAATATCTGGTCTGGTCTCCTTGGATACCCAGGACAACGCACCCAGCAGTGTTCGTAGTTGGCTGATCTCATTGGGTGTGCAGTATGAGTATCGTTGTCGTTTCCTGGCCTTCTCGATGGGGATCACGTTGACCTTGTCCTCGACGTAGTTCTTTTGGTGGATCAGGATTGACCCATCACTCTGTTGGGTGATTGTCTTTCCAGTGAATTTGCCATCACCGGTAGTGAACTTCCCCATCTTGTATTGTGATCGCAGCCAGTCCATGTGAGACCAATGTTCATCTTCACCGCCATGGAGCATGTCATCGGTCGCGAGGGCGATGATACCAACCAGCCGTTGTGTTTTGGAGTCAAAGAGCTGAAAGAGGCATGGGTCTGCCCTGCTCCGCACGTAGCCCCTGCTTTCTAAGACTCGTGATACATGTCGGTACCACTGGTATGGGCCATCAGTGAGGCCATAACATGTCTTTTTGAGCCTCAGTAGCTGTCGAGGGTGAAGTCCTGGAACTCCTTCTGGTGGAAGTGAGCAGTACAGTTCTCTGGCGATGGGGTCACCGGAGTGGAAGGCCTGTGTGAAGTCCAAGTGGCCTATAGTCCATTGGTGACTCGCCAGCATCTGTAGGGTGAACATCACGGAGTCCTTGGCTACTTGTGGAGTGGTTGACTCCAGGTTCTCTGCATTGGCCTCGGAGTAGCCCTTCATGACATGACGAGCTTTTGCCTTAAGCATTTCTCCATTCATCTCCTCAAGTAGTAGACCTTCTTGCTTCAGTGTCTCGACCTCATGCGGCTCGACCGCCTTCTCCGTCAGGACATATCTGCTTTTCATGATGAGGTCGCTCTTTTCTCTCCGTATCTTCTCAGATTCCTCCCTGGACAGAGCCTCATAGGCTCCTGACTTGAGGTTGTTTTGGATCTCCTTCAAGATTGCCTTGTCGAACTTCTTCTTGCTGCCAGACATCAACTTTCCATAGTTCACCTCCTTCCGGTTTCGGGTCATGTTGATCTTCTCCAGCTCTTGGAAGAAAATCTCCAGGAGTTCGGCTCGAAGTCGTTTCGCTGGTGGTTCTGCGTCTCCAGGTTCCTCAGCACGTCGAACTTGTCCACGATGTAGTTCTTCCTGTGGTACACCAGGGGCTGTCTCCTCGGTCTTCTCCTCCTCGATCTCATCATCTGGCAAAGGTGATGTTGGAACTACTCCAGGAGATTCAGCTTCTTCTTCGATGTCGGGGTCATTGAAGATTCCTCCCTCTGGCCCAGGTTGAACTTCAGCACGTTGATCGTGATGAGGTCCAAGTTGAACTCCTTGTCGGGCCTCCATGGCATCCTGTAGCTTCTGTCGCTTCTGGTCGTACTCATCTGGCTTGAATTCTACCTCACCGGCAGCATGCTTTCCGGTAAGTCGATACTTCGGTGCTGGTGGCGGTATGAATTCTTCGTCGTCTAGTTCCATTTCCTCTGGGGGTGGTCGCTCATCCAAGACGATGTATCCCTTGAAGTCCGTCTCCTTCAGCTGCTTCTTGGTCTCCACGATTTCCTGTACCCATTCTGTCAGGATGAACTTTTCCTCTTCCGCAGCCGGTCGTAGGTGTTCTGGACTTGCCTTAACAATCCGTCCTCGGTGTGCTACCCAGACGGTTGTTGGAAGACTGGTCAGTATGACCTTTGCTGGTCCATGCCAAAAGGATGTGTTGTCCTTCTTTGCCTGTTGCATTCCTTTTCGCCAGTAGTATACAGTCTGTCCCACTTCATAGTGATGCCATTTTCGACTTCCAGCATGGAGTGCATTTCGAAGAGCTTGGTCACAGTCAGCCTGGTGATAAGCTGTTGCAGCAGCTCTTCGAAGGTTGATGGCTCGTTGAACTTGTAGGTCTCCTGCATGGTATCTCGATGCTGTGGCATGGTCGTTGAAGCCACCACTAAGGTTGGTTCCAGGGATTCGAGGGCTGTAACCAAGCATCCGTTGTACCGGACTGAAACCGCTCTTGTTGGCCAGTCGATTGATGGTTGCATTGGTGACATCCACCGCTTCTCTCCATTCTTCCCACGTAGTACAAGCCACATCCATGAGAGTTTTTGCAAAGATCTCCTTGAAGCTCTTGCCGGCTCGCTCTGTCAGTGATCTTTGTGTTGGTGTCTCCAGTGATCCGGGGTCCATCACAATGGACTCGCAGTCCATCATGTGCTGGAAACATCCATTGAACTCCTTGCCCAGGTCACTGTAGATCCGTTCAGGTGGACCGAAGATTCTGATCCATTGGTATAGTGCCCTCGTTGCAGAGCGTGGTGTATGGTCGTCCAGGGGAACGATCAGCTGAAAGCGAGTGGCCCAGTCCAGGATGTTGAGTGCCATCCGTAGTTTCCCTCCAGGCGTCAGGCCTGGGAGATAAACTGTGTCAACACCCACAATCTGGTTGGGGTGTAGTTCCTTTGGTGGTGCTGCAGCTCTTGCTGGTGCCACCTTTCGGTGACGCAAGCAGATGTCGCAGGTGAGTTTCTTGGCAATCTCCACAGCCTCCTTTTTAACTCCGGCGGATTGAAGAATCCTAGCCAGCTTGTCATTGCCAATGTGTCCAAGGCCACAGTGAGCTCGTCGCACCAAATGTTGAAGGCCCAGAGGTCTCTCTCTTGGTAGCCTTCTTCCAACCTCCGGTTCCTCCTGTCTCTCCTCAACCGTCTCTTCCTCTGCCGGGACCAAGTGCTCTTCAGAAGCCGCAGTCTCTTCATGAACCACGTCCTCCTCTGGGTGGTCGGTCGCAAAGGTCTCATGAGAGTCCTTGAGGAAGCTGTGGCTGATGACATACTCGGTGTGGTAGATCTCGTCCAGGAGGTTGTCGAGGGAGACCAGTTGAACTTGGTGTCGTAGGTTGTTCTTCTGCACGATGGAGTCGGAGTAGGCACCTAAGATCGCACGCACAAGATCTGGTGGATACTCCTGGGCTTGTTTGGCTCTTGATCCTCCAGGTCCATTGCCAAACACTGGGATATGCTCATGTTTGTGATCACATGTTCCGGAAATTCTATTGGCAACAGTAACATTGTTGGTGATCCATCCAGTGGGTTTCCTATACCTGTCACCTTCGGGGGATCTAAGATTGAACATGCATTGATCATTTCGGACCAGAATCGAGTCAGAGTAGTTGGCCAGTTGCTGAACTTTGGATTCAGACCATGCTCGGGACGTGAGTGGGTGTTCAAAAACAAACGTGCCACCATAGCTCCTGACCAACTGACAAATTTCACAAGCGAAACTCAACAGCACTTTAGCTTCAATAAGACGTCGAACAAATTCCTTTTCCTTCAAAGGGTCTTCAAGATGTTTTTGGTTGAGGTTTTGTAAAACACTGAACATGGTACACGGGGAAGAAACCACAACACAACCGGGTTTAACATTATTAATGTATTGACGGACTTCACTTCTACTTTTGGATTTCAGGAGATCATGGCCCAAAGTCAAATCAAAAGCAACGCCCTTCTCAAGACCAAATTTCCCAGTTTCGGGCCCAAAACGATTGGGGTTGAAGACTTCAGCTACCGTGCGTGCTTGCTTCTTTGTCACTCCCATGAGACTGGCCAGTCGTTGGAGCGGCCGTTTGTTAATGACCTTTGAAGGGTCATTTGGATCGAAGATCTGTACAGCAAACTGCTCAAACACTTGTTGGCCGGTCATTTGTTGACCGTCCTCGAGTTGGGTTATAAGTTCTTTCCACATAGTTTCTGATTCAGTCAGGGCTGATGTCGCCTGTCTCAGAATTTGTTTCATTCCCTTCTCCTTGAAACCAACAGCGTTGATCACATCTGTTGTGTCGTCATCTAGCGACTCGACCGGGACCCGGTCCAAATTCCTGCTGGTTCCAGAGCACCTTGTCGTTTCCATTCTAGAAACTCCTCGTAGGTCGGCTCGAGTGCCTTCTTGGCTGCCTGCAGTCTCTCCATCTCCTTCTTTCGGCCTGCCTCCGTCAGCTCGTCCTTCAGAGTCTTCCCGCAGGTGCTGCACTTCTCCACGACCTTGTAGAGGTTCGTCCCCTGCCAGCTGGTCTTCTTGTGAGGACAAAGTCGTTGGGCCTCCTCCAGAAGTCGTGTTGCCGGTGTGCTCTGTTTGGACGTAGAGCTCTTCCGTGTTGTAGTTGTCACCATCGATGCTCGGTCCAACTCTTCCTCCATCTCGATCAGGTTGGTGTTGAGGTAGGGCTGAACCAGGCACCACATGAATGTCTTGCATTGAGCATTGCGGGGCCTGGGGCACCTCCAGAACAGCTTGTGATAGTTCTCCCCTTGCTTCTGGCATATGAAGAGTCTTGTTGTCTCTCCATGCTCGCACTGGACCGGCGGCCCAACCATCCTCAAGATGGCGTCGGTGATCAACTCCTGTCCTTGGTGGGTGCTTGCCTGCGACCTCACACTTGGGGATGACGTCGACAGCATCTCGAAGCTTGCCTCCGTGTTTACCGACCTCGTGCTCCTCATTGATCGTGTAGTTCTCGTTCGGTCCGCTATAGAGGACGAAGTAGACGAAACGCCAAGATGCTGATGTCCTTGATGATGGTCAGGATCTTCATCAAGACATTGTGCCAGTTCGCCATGATTCGGAAGTTGGGCTCCTGGGTGCGGTTCCTCTTGCGCTCGTTCTCCATCATGGCACTGGGTGTTCGGAGCGGTGTCGTCAGTACCTGGAAAAGGGCGATTTGAGCCAAGTTCCTGGTGTGGCATTCGATCTGGCTCAGTCCGCAGTATCTCAAACTCTTGACTAGACCTTTCAAGTTCTTCCTGTGCCTTTCTGAGATGTTGAATCTGCTCTTGTGAAAACTGACAAAGTGGCATGCGGAGTGCACCAGTGGGTCCTAAATGACATGCAACCGTGAACCGAAACCTTTTGAAATGAATCTTCAAACCACTTTGGGGGTCCAAGTACAAAACCGCTCTGCAGAACAAAAGAAAAGGGAGAGAAATTAAAAATGGGGCATGTTTGCTTTCATCATTTTCAAAAACCGCCGGTTTAAGAAGACTTCCCCGTTGTCCCAAACCAGAAGGGATAGAAGCAACATGTTTTGTGGATGACCTCCCATGAACTGATCGAAAACGATGCTCCTGTTGGTGAAGTCGTACATCTAGGCCATCCGGAAGGTGTCCAATCAGTTGCCGAAGAGTTTCAAGTCCAATGGCCATCCGTTGGCAGCCCGTATCCACTGTGGCACATGTTTCATCCTTTGGGTATGCTTGGTGTTTAGTGTGTGGATCTACAGGGTTACCAACATTGGTCTGGGACTGACTTTCCCCAAAAAGAATCTCCCGTTCCTCCAAATCAACATCACGGTCCTTATACGGAGACATGGGCTTACGGTTCAGGTCAAGGTGATTGGGCTCTACCGCATCAGCATCAAAATCTCCAGTCTTTGGAGAGCTGTGGTTGGCCGGTTCACTCAGTTCAGGTTCTTCAGGCTGTAGTCCATCTGCTTCGGGGAAGCTCAGCTCAGGTTCTTCAGGCTGTAGTCCATCAGCTTCGAGGAGGCTCAGTTCAGGTTGTTCGGAAGGTGGTCCATCGGCTTCGTGCAAGCCCTGTCCAGGTTCTTCGGGAGGTGGTCCATCGGCTTCAAGTAAGCCACAGAAGACTGCTTCTTCTGTTTCCAAGAGATTTTGTTCTCTCTCTCTTGGAGGCTCTGGGCATTCTCGATGCCAATGTCCCACCTTATGGCAATTGCCACATCGTGTCACCTTTTTGACCTCTTCGATGGTCATCTTGTACTGACCCGCTCGGAATGGCATTTTTCCGGTCGAAGTAGAACTGTAGGTGTTCTTGCCTTTCCCTTTGGCATTGGACGACCCGGGCTTGTAGCCCCTTCCAAGTTCTTTCATCTTCTTGGCCTTTTGGGTTTGTATGAAGCTGCGTTTCTTGGTGAGGATCGTGTTGAGGATCTCCGCCGCCTCTTGCTCTTCCAAGACCTGCACCTCGTCCTCGGCAGTGTTGGAGTGATCACCAGGGTATTCACCGTCATGTAGTTCTTGTAGAGCAGCTTCAAGTGAATGGACCTCGTCGTCCTCGTCGTCGGTCTCCTCCTCGGCAATGAAGTAGTTGGTGCTTGTCCGTGAGCTCGTGCCAGTCTTTTTGGAATCAAGTCCAACCTGAGAGACTTGAAGTTTCGTCTCATGCTTTCGGATCCAGTCTTTGATGTCGACCGGCAGGATGCTTCCACGGGTGTAGTTCAACATGGCTTTGATCTCGGTCTCGCTGAGCGTGAGGGCATTCACCAAGAGAAAGCCCTTGTACTTGTCAGGTAACAATACCTGGTGTTCCACTACTTTTCTCATTGCTGTCTCCCATCGGTTGAAGAAACTTCGATGGGTCTCCTGTTTCTCCCTTCTCACATGGAACGTTACCTTGGCCAGGGCACTCAGAAGATCTTCGTCTCGATCATCTCCAAAGTACTCGGCCTTGTCCATGGTGTCTATCAGTTCCTCACCGTTGTCAGGGTTCTGCATCCATCGTCTGTCCCGTGCCAGAAACTTCATTGTCTCAAAGGGCACCTTGGACAGCTTCTGTAGCAACAACGGCCCTCGCGTGCGGGGTTTGGATCTGGTAGTAGCCAACCACAACCTCGCCTTGATGGCGTAGTCTTGAAAGGTCAGCGACTCTCCATCCCATTCTGGTGCCGGACCTGCATTGGTCCTCTCATCTTCGTCACGGTCGTCAGAACCGTGGCTGCTATCACGGCGACGGTTCCTGGCCTGTCGCCCATTTCGGTTTCGGTTCCTCATCCATTCTCGGAACTCATCGCTGTTGAAGCCGTCATCTTCCGGCTCATCAAAAACTTCATTCACCTCGTTCGAGGCATTGCTCCTATTGGAACGTGCTGGTCGGCCATGACCAGTAGTCGCTGCACCTTCAGGTCGTGCCTCATCGCTGCCATGCGAAGAAGGAGGCACAGGCAAATCCATCGCTCTATCAGGTCACCTAAGTAACCGCGGATGCCCAGGATTGTCCCGGGCTCCGCTACCACTGCAAATCGCAAGTGGCAGCTGAGCCTTTTCTCAACTGCTCAGGCGTGCATTCCCCTACACGCTAAGGGCCTTGAGCTCATGTCCGCTGGGCGATCGGCCAGCTGTTTGTAGTCTTCAAATGGGTGAGAATGCTTTGTTCAATTGACGGTGTGTGAAAAGTGCACTTCTTCAACCTAATATACTCTAATCATTCCCCAACTAACGAATTAAGGCCGCTTACTTTCAATGGAAGCCACCTGACTGCCATCATCCCAGTGATGTCGCAGTGACGTCGGTAAAATTCATCCCGAGTGTTTCCATTCGCTATCTTTGAGGATTTGAAAAACCCGTTTTTTTTTCGACGAATTTGATGAATTTCGAGAGAGATGTTGACTAATTCTGACTAATTTGAGGATAGATTTGCACATATGTTGACCATTTTTGACTAAGTTTCAAATTTGACGAATTTTGACAAATTTGCCATAGACGGCTTCAATTATGGACTCTGGTGAAAACTTAAGCCACTAGACTAGCCATGACGTCCAAAAAATGAAGAGACTAGGTTGACGCTTGGATACCCACGTTTTCGTGCATTCTTTGGTTTGCTGTCTTCAAAAAAACTAGCATCCTTGCCACGGCCCCCAATTTCGCATGGGCCAAACGTTGTTGATCTTGCTTTCTATGAATAGAGGCTGCATTTTGCCAAACTGGATCAACTGTATTCATCACATTGGGGATCTTGCCTCTTTTGACAACTATCAGTGGTGCTTGCGTCTTAAACCGAGGCAGAGATGGAGACCTTAATAAGAATATGGATACTGATAACAAACATTGACAATTATGATATTGACTCAAGGAATCACAAGAAATATACATATAGTATAATATATATATAGTATAATATATATATATAGTATAATATATATATATATATTATTATTACTATTATTATTATTTATTATTATTATTATTATTAGTATTATTATTATATAGTCATAACATGTCATAATCATCATCAGCATCATCATCGGCATCCCCGACATCATCGTCATCAACCCCACGATATCGCGACTACCAAATATCATCAATAAATGCTCACTGTTGGTGTGTGGTGTTTATACAAGGTGACGGTCCCCCAATCCTGAGCTAAGCTGGGTTCAGCAGAACACAACAACGCCCCTATCCCATCTCATTATACTCGTTGCTTCGAGTATATTCCCATGATGCCGAAAAAAGTACCGGTAATCCCCTTTTTCAACGCTTAATCCTAAGACTTCGCTGAATCCATAGCTAGGCTTCATCCAGGGTAACAAAATGTTCGAAGGCTTCACCCGGGTGATCTTTTCCAACAGGTCGCAGTGAAAGCAATGGTCGCCACCCCAGCGAGGCAGGCAGCGAGCTGGACCGTGGAGGGTCACAACGGATGGTACAGCCAGCAACTGTCCAAAAAAATAAAGGTTGGCACTCAAATAGTGAAAGTTTGCGAACTTCTATGTTTTTACTTGCTATATTTTTGGGATATACCCCGTGCATCCCCGTGCTTTTTGAAATCTATAAACAGAATTAGTTTCCAAAAATATTAGTCAGATTGGATCATCATCCCAAATATTGGGGAAAAATAAAATTTATGTTCCAAACCACCAACCAGGGAACTTTTGATTTATCAGCTATTCACCAGTTACTAAATGGGATGACCCTCCAAGCATGGATTCATGTCGCATACGCGCCCTGCGCCACATGCTTCACTGCCCGCTTACCGCTGGATCGTTGGGCGGTTCGTTTTCCGCTATGGTACAGCCATCTTTCTGGTTGGTTTGTGGCCCACAAGGCTGGGGATGTTTGAAGGGCAAATCAACCGCAGAAATGGGAAACACCTCACTGTTTTATGGCCAACTAAGACTTTACTATATTTTACTCAACAGAATGCAGGTTTAAGCCTGACCATGTACTGGCATTGTCCATATTTCAACGATAGGTAACCATAGAGGTGCATGTTTGGGGAGCATCAAATAGTCTTCATACCCAACAAGATTTGGTTTTCTCGTCTCATATCTGCAGTCCGTCAGGTCGCGAGATCGAAACGAAATGTAAGTTGACGATTCTCATCCCATGTCCTGAATACAAAGAGATGATTCTCATTGCCCTCCTGGAAACTAACATAGCTATTGAACATTGCCTACAGGATGGGGCCCCCCAGATATACATTGGTTTATAAACCATTATAATCCCCATTAACTATAGTGATATCTACCATAAACCATTGTTAAGCCACTTATAAACCAACTTAGCTATCTTGGGGGCCCCATCCTGTATCTAGTTCGATGATTTACCTCTGAAGAATGACTTTTTTCCATATGTGAAATCACTGAGGGTAACCAGTGTTTGAACAAGCTGCAGCCATAGTTAAGTTCTTCATGAATCTACCACGTGTTGCTTGGTTAATGGTTAAATTCCCGTGAATCGCCATTAATCACCATTAAACCACCATTAAACCCCCATGATATTTCAATATAATCACCATTTTTGTTGTCCCATGTTGTTCCCCAATTCGGGCCCATGGGCCATGGCGCCCTGGCCCCTTAGAGCCGGGTCAAGGACGAGGAGGCCTCGTCTTCGCACCGTGGGGATTTTTGCCAAGGCCAAGTTGGTTAGTTCGTCCGAAACAGAAACTATCCATGGTGAATCTTAGATATGGGCTGGTTGGTGGTATACCTACCCCTCTGAAAAATGTTAGTCAGTTGGGATGTTGACATTCCCAATATATGGGAAAATAAAATTCATGTTCCAAACCACCAACCAGTGGGTAACACCAAATCATGTAACTTAGAAAAAAATAGAAAATATCCAGGGAGTTTTCACAATGGCTTTATAAACGTATAATTGATATTAATTGATCATAGAACCAACCCATGGAAAAAAACAACTGGTGGGGAAAGTGGATTACATGACAATACATCTAGACATACATTTGTAGATCATGGGGAATTTCGAGATATATATATATATGTGTGTGTGTGTGTTTATGTGTATGTGTATAATATATAATTATATATACACAATTATACACATACCGGTATGTATAACTGGGGATATTTTATGGGATACAATCATAGCTATATTGGTAGCAAGTGGATGGTACATCCCATCATAGTTTCCTCTCCCTGCGGCGGTTCCTGCCTTGTGTGCTAGGGGCTCCCAAGCAAAGCGATGGGAAGGGCTTGTCCTGCCGGTCATTCCACATGACACTGATTTGCGAATTGCTTACGCCGATATGTTCACTAACTGACAAGCCAATATTGGATAAGTCCCCAACAATGGAACATCCAGGCAAATTACGGTTGAGCAGCCGCTTCTCTAGTAGCAGGACCTGTGGCCCTATGAGTGCGGCATTGCGTCTTTGGACAGCCGAAAAGGAGATTTTGGAGGGTCGACTCCTCCCGGGTCACGGCCCAGTCGCGCTGATAGATTGTAGCCTCCTGTGTTGATTGACAGTACAACCTCGATTTGAAAAATGACATTCCTTTGTCATTCATCCGTACTTTTTGTGGCTTTCGCCCTTAAAGATCTCATATTTTTTCATGCTTCAATTCCGAATATTTCAGGTCAAATCCTAGTAATTCCCAACGGTCTTGGGCTCAAAGCCCAAGTCCCATGTTTCGTGGGTGAACTCCGAAGTTATCCCAGGCACCGTGACTGGCACATCATTAACTCTTCACTGGAAATGGCCCCTTCGATTAATTTAACAACTAGAACTGAAAACTCTGCCTACTTATATAAATACATTAGATATTGGTATAGGCATACGTCCCAATAATATGGGTTGGTCTGAAAACATAACACGATACCGACGATACCCTAAAATCCCTTGGTTGATCATCATTTATCTATCAAAATTATCATTTGAAGGGTAATTATATACCCCATTTTCAGACACTAAGTATCGTATTGGTGATATATTCCATTGAAAACCCATTCACACCCAGTCTAACATAATTATTAGGAGCCATTCAAATCCCGCTCTATCTGTTGATTTGACCAACCCAACCACCACTCCTGCGAGCACAGGGCGCACAGGGTGCACAGGGTGCACAGGGTACACAGGGTGCCCCGGCACCGGAGCATATCGGCCGACTTTGCCTTGCGCACACCAAGTGATAGTGATGTCAGATAGACAGATTTACACATAATCTATGTATATATATATATACATACACACATGTGCACATACATGTATGTCCATATAATATATAATATATATATATATACACATGTGTATGTACATAGGTATAGATCTATATACTGTGTTTGTATATATACATATATATACTGTATATAGTAGAGTAGTGGTGACTGACCTGTCCTAGCTGATTTTTTGAGGCTAGAATTCAAGTCTCAGCTGGTGTATTACTACGGTAGGTATCCCGCTAAAAAAATTGAGCACCATCCTCAAGTCATCACCATATGTGGGATACCATCTCCCACATGGTTTATGGTTGGTTTATGGCAGGTTTAGGCTTTCCTACATTAAACATGTTAGCTAACAAAAGTCAGCTACACATCTCCTTAATTTTCCTATATACATATATAATCCCATAGAAATCACCAGTTATAACCATCATGAAAATCACTTTCTTAGCCACCATAATTAAACCATGATTAACCATGATTAATCACCATTTACCCATTATTATATGATGATTATTAATTACCCATTATTAACCATCATGAAAATCACCAGTTATAACCACTATTAACAATTAATAACCATTATTATATGATGTTTAACCATTATTAATCATATATTAATCACCATTATTATAAATTATAACCACCATTTCCCAGATATGATGTTATAACCATTATTAATCACCATTTATCACCGTTATGGCTTTTTCCTATGGCTTTTTCACCACCAAGGTGGCGACCTGGCGACCTGGCTCCTGGGTTCCCCTGGCGGCGACATGGAGCGACTGCGCAGCGCTGTCCCGGGTCTGGACGCATCCTGCGCGGAACAAATGGTGCCGGAAAATGGTCCAAAAAAAAACCAAGAGAAATTAGGAGAAACCTAGGAGAGAACCTCATAACATCTCATAACCTCTCAGAACATCTCATAACCCACAAAAATATTCAAGAATTGCAGGATTTAGGTGTGAAATTTGGTGTGGTCACCTGGATTTAACATGATCTTTGCTGCAGAAATGGTGTTGCAACCAACGGAAAGATACCAAAAGTGCGGACATCGGGATTAAAGTGGTGCGTTGATGTATGTGATTGCCCTTTGCAAACGAAAAAGCTGGATTGGAGCATCAGAATGTGTGGGTTTAATCAACCAGTATGTACAATAAATGCATGTGATTGAACCAAGAAAAATGTGAGGTTCGACAAGAAAAAACCTTGTAAGGTCCAGCAAAAGAATGGAAAAGATATGAAAAGATGTGATTTTCAGGCAAAACATGATTAAAAACATGTCTAGGTCTGGCACATCATTGGGATTGTCCTCTGGCAAAAAAACTTGGCAATGGAAATGCCTCGTCTCTACATGACTGTTCTATTCCGAATAGTGACTTTCCAAACATGTTTGATTGCGAGTAGGCACCAAATCTTACTAGTTTACTAGTGTTTCTTCAAATGGCTGCCGAAAATTGTCCACGAAATTCCATCTATTTTCGTGGGCAAACCATATTTGGTTCATCATTTGGGAATGGAAACAACAACAGACTATGATGACTATGTGGCTCCATCACAGAGACTTGGATCCATGACGTAACTTCATCACTGTCTTCACCATGCTTCATCACTGGTTTCACTGATTTTGTGGCCCCGTGGGGCCGAAAATGAACATAATGAACCCATGAAACCCCTATGCCCATCCCATGAAACATGGCTTGGTGAACAGATATTCCATGATATTCCTATCATGATTCAGGACTATCCCTACACTCGAAATCACATAGATCCTCATAGATCAAACATATTCATAACCAAAGAATCATCCGCCAACCAACATTAGTCATCATTTATCTCTCGTACCCCTAGGGCCCGTAAGTCCGTGAAGTTTTTTCTAGAAATGATGATTCCCCACGATGTCGGCCCCCAACCAATAGCGAAATTCACGACTTGGTGAACTAGACTTCATGAACCAACAAATAATCACCGTTTTGAAGAGGGATACAGTTAATGGGATGTGAATGGTTTATGAACTATACCAAGCTAGAACCATAGTCATAACATGTCATAACTATACTTCATATAGGTTCAACTTAGTGTCCCGAAAAAAAACTATAACCATCTATAACCGATAGGTATAAATATAACTTAAATATGGCAGTGTGTCAAAACCTTGTACCCCTGGTGAACATCAAAATAGCTGGTAAATGGATGTTCATCCCCCTAAAAATGGTATTAATAGGTATTGATCCATACCCATATAATGGGTTTATAAACCAACACGACAACGGTCTCCTCCACCGTATCCCTTGGTGACGGTGCCAGTTCCACTTGGCATTGCGACGCCGGCGCGGCAGGCACCGGCGCTGCCACGTGGGAGCCCTGGAAACACCGGGAGAATCGGCGGGAAACCCGGAGAGATCAGTAGGAAAATATGGGAAAACTCGGGTTTTCTTGCATTTTAGGTGGAAAAATCTAAAGGTTGAGTGGGGAAAAAAATCGAGGCTGTAAACACCAAGTTTCAAGTGGAAAATAAAAATTTTTGGATAGGTAAATTACCCAAATTTGAGTAGGAAATCCCTAATTGTGTTGTTGGTGAATCCCAAGTTTTACTAGGGAAATCCTAATTTTGTTATCCCCATCAAAATTGCCAAAAAAAATACCTGCTCAACTAATGTTTGCCCAGAAAAAAAAAAAGGACCATGACAGTATGGATCACAGGTGGGGAATTGTTGGTTCTGAAATTATTTGATGTTTTTTGACCCAAAACTGATCATTGAACTCCGATGGTTTGTCTAGGTTTGTCGATGATATTCCCCAGATTGTTCACTTCCTGAATCACGGTCTTATCCATGTTCGGCATTTTTGGTGCCACATACCCATGTTGATTGTGTAAGCCATGTGTCCAACAATGGTTCAGCCTCCCAAAACCAAACTGGTTCGCATTTAGGTGGATTTGGGGGACCTATTGCTTTAGAGAAACCTGCATCCATGGTTTCTGGGCAAGGTTGCCAAACTACTCCCAGTTCCATATCTGTGTGTTTCTGTGTAAGGTGTAGGGGCACGTAGATGCTCTCGGGTAGATGTATCATGTAGTTGTGAAGACTAGGTCCCCGGCTATTCCAAGCCCTAGCTGATCATTAGGTTGTTCCAAACATATGTCATGTTTCCTACATTACTGAAGGAATTTTAGAATTTAGAAGTCAAACTTCCGACAATATGGACAGATGAAAAGGCAGAGTGGGAAGAGTCAGAGAAGAGAAGAGAAGAGAAGAGAAGCGAAGCGAAGCGAAGCGAAGCGAAGCGAAGGGAAGGGAAGAGAAGAGAAGAGAAGAGAAGAGGAAAGAAGAAAGAAGAAAGAAGAAAGAAGAAAGAAGATCAGAGGAGAGAAAGAGCCAGAAGACAGAAGATGCAGGTGCGCGAAAAGGTAGCAAAGTCGCGAAACACTGTGTTTCTCAAATGATTTGTGGCTCCGGAGGGGCGAGAAGTAGGCGCGCTAAAGCGGCGGGCGCGGAGGACGTCTCGCAGAATAGCTTCGTTTTCAAGCTTGCAGATAGACAGAGAAGATAGAAAGAAAGAAAGATAGATGGATAGATAGATAGATAGATGGATAGATAGATAGATAGATAGATAAATAGACAGATAGGTAGGTAGACAACTACAACTAGCTACACATACACATATGCTACGATACATTACACTACACTACACTAATCACATCTAATTACACTACACAACAACAATTACACAACAACAATGACACAACAACAACAACAACAACAACAACAACAACAACAACAACAGCACTTGCAACTACACTAATTACACTACATTACAACTACAACTCCACTACACTAGACTACAACTACAATTACAACTGCACTACACTACACCACACTACATCCAGCAGTTGTGGTGAGGTGACCACTGCAACCATTGCAACCACTCCAAAAAACACAACTCGAACCACCTGTCGGTCCATCTGTGGATTCGCTCTGCCATCCGTGATTCACAAGAACCAACCTCTCCTTGTTCGGTTTCCTACTTTTGAAACTTCCACCACCGCCTTGTGCGGTACTACTGATATATACATATATAGCTTCCCGAAAGAGATCCAAAGAGTGGATGAAAATATGGTATTCCATCCACTGGGCCAGCCACATCCTTGTCCCATTCTTCAAAACACACCCAAAGAAAACACGTTGCTGATATATCCCAGTATCATCAAGCAAGACTCCACAGTAAATCATGGGATATCTCACCAACAATTGTTTTTTTAGTGTTCCTAGATATATCACCCATGAAAATTTCTCGAAAAAAAAAGTCCCGCTTCTTGGTGATCAATTCCCATCATCCCATGATCAACCAAACCTATCCAAAAAATCCGGCTGCGGCGGCCTTCCAGTCCAAGCTTTGCCCGGGAACGGGGGCCACCACCTGAAAGCTACGTTTGGTGAGGCCTTTTAAGGTTGGAAAACCATGGGAAACCCAGAGGAAAACCCAGAGGAACATGGCGGATTTTAGCCAAGAAACATTCATGGTGATTTCATGGGATGCATTTTAGCTGATTTATGATAGCTAAGTTGGTAAACATAACTCTAAGAACCAGGATCCATGGCGTCTGTGGAGTTCATGGACGTGTCCTCACAATGAGAGGTCCCTACTCCTCTTGTCCAAGTGGCCTTGGGGTGTTGCGAGTCGATGGGAATTCTCATCCCACATGGGACATACACTTTGACAAAGATGGAAAGCACCAGCTGATCGACCAACCAGTTGAAACTGCTCACAAATGTAGCCCTTTCGCTGGCAACAGCTCCATGTATTTTCCGTGGATGTGGGTAAAACATGGTAAAACGGAGTTTTCACAAAAAATGTGGAATTGTCACCAACAAGTTGATTGTTTTTTTCAGAAAAATGTGGGGGGTTTCACCCCAAAAACCTGGGAGTTTTTTCTGAGTCCCGGCCCATCCATTCTTGGCCCCCGGCCGATCGTACACGAGGGGTTGCCAGGGTTCTGCCTGCGGTGCTGAATGTTTCTTCATTGTGGGGGTTGGTGTGGAAAGTCCATAAAGTGATGGATTCTTAATGGTTGAATCTAGTAAGAAATGGGATTCTTCCTGGGACTATAGTCACTTATCAACTGACCTTATAGTAAATTTATGTTAAAATCGTGGTCATTTATGTTGGATTCTTCATGAAGGTCAGTGTTTGTGGATTTAATTGGTTCGATTCATATTGTAACTTGGAGGGTAATGAGAGTAATGAGGTGCCATAAACTGCAGGAATCCATCATCTTCCCATAAATCCATGAATCTGGCTGTTTATTGATTACTTCAGCCTGAATTAACTTGGGCCATTTTGTGATGGTGTTCCGTGTCTTTTTCCTGCCTTGTTTGCAGTTTCTTTTTGATGTTTTTGGGTGGTTCCCCGCCGGGTTGTACCTTCGAACCCTCATGTCCGTGGTTCAAACATCACTTCTTCGTGTTGCTTTTTTTCCGATTGCATCCAAATTGTTCAAGGGATGCCATGGGAAACATCTGCAGCGAACCCATGAGTTTTTTTTTTGTTACTGACCCAGCCTCCCACTTGTGCGCTTGGGCTGATGGCCTCGTCCCGGTGTCCATATGTCATGGGGGTACCCCAAAATGGTTGGTTTATAGTAAAAAAACCATCTACAGATGGATGATAACTGGGGGTAACCATGATAAACCACCAACAACCATTACTAGCCAGTAGATTCGTTACCATCACCATTACAAGTTGGGATGCCTATGAAGGTAACTATGAAACACTGGGATTATAACGGGATTCTAATGGGATAAACCATCTAACAACTGGTGCAGGATTTCGTCCATCCACGGTAATTACTGTTTAATATAAATATAAAATAATATAAGTAAGTTCCTAATGATCTAATGGTGGTGAAAAATGGTGAGTTGTAATTATTCTACTAGCTATAATAATCGTTGATGATGATTTTTCGTGGTTACCCCCTGGTTTTTTTACAGTTTGCGAACTGGAAGCCATGGCCCATCTAGTTGATTCATGATTCTTGTCATTTACACATACCCTCTGATAAACTAACATAACTATGAAAAATCAGATTTTTTTATGGGAAAACTCACTATAAATGGCCATTTTCAATAGCTATGTTAAATTACCAGAGGGTACCCTCCAGTAAACTAACATCTGGAAAACCCACCAGAAATGTAGATCATGTTCCGAGAGTTTCCCCGGTTGGGTTTTTCCACGTGATTTTTTGTGTGTTTACCCGGTAATTTTCACTAATGGCATACTGTAATCAAGGGCAAAATTACAGTATGCCATTGATTTTGTGATTATAATCAATGGCATACTGTAATCTTCCCCTTCATAGTCTTCACTGCCCACACCCTGATGGATTTTCCTCGACCCAATGATTGTTTAACGTCTCAGGGGGGACCTCATCCTCCAAAACTTGCGGCGCCACATTCATAGAATTGATTCACAAATAGCAGAGTCTACAGGATTAAAAAAAAGATGAAAAGTTGTGGTTCCTTGACTCTTCGGCCGAATCACTCCATTGACAAATTCGAAAAGGTGTGCAACCCAGTGGCAGACTGCGGCGCGCATGGATACTGCAGGACCTGCATGCCAACTTGAACGGGGGGATGCCTGAAAATTGACATTGGATTAGTCCAGGAAAAAATCAAATCTATGAACAAAACTTGGATCAACATCTTGTCAGACGCGTGAGTTCTATGGGGGTAATCCAATGATGATAGATTCTCTGAAAAGAAACAATAACAACTAGAAATCGATGATAAACAGAAAGGTGTGGTGCCCAAAATCCAAGGAAAGTTTTCTCAAATGTTTGTCGGTTCCCATCTGAGTTGCCGTATTCGCTATACCCCGACATGACTGGGATGATGCAAAATGACCCCCAGTCAGGGTTGGTGAATGGGATGGATTATTGAATTGACATGAATTGACCACATTAGAAATTGACACATCCAGCATTTTATGGCACAGTACCTCCATTTCAGGATCCTGAAATTCCCATTGAACATCATTGAACCATTTTATGATCCTGACCTGTGGGCTATCGGTGTTAGAAACCCAACTTGGGCTCTCCCTGGTAGAGTTGGCCAAGGGCTTTTTCTCACCCGGCCAAACCTTGATCGGGAATTGTGCTCTCCACCAAGGTGCTTCGTACGGAATGGATGGGTTGCTGGGGGTTGCTGGGATTATGATTGATAGTTATTGTATGTTATTGTGGATCATTCCCAACAATTCCCTACGTTTAGCACAAGTAAGATAAGGTTTGTCTGTCATCACTTTGTGGCCATATATCATGTCGTATCTCTAGTTTATGGATAAACTATGATAAACTGTTGTTTTTTCAGGGGCACCATATCCAAACTGAGGCCTGCCAATTGTTTTGTTTGCTGGTTAAGTCAAGAAATATCCCTATCAATAGCAAATAGCAAAGATCAAGTGTATTAAACGACCAATCTTATTTCAATTGGTTTACTGTATATACCCAAAATATTCCATCTGTTTGCTGGTTCTATCCCAATTTTCTCATCTGTTTGGCGGTTTTCGGTGGTTTCTAGAATTAGTCTCCCTATCAAACGTCAACCCCGGCGAAGTACACCTCGGTTGCTTAAAAACCGGTGGTAATTATATAAACCCCCAAAATTCTGAGTTGCTACTAAAAACGCTAGCTCCCCCAGGTTCACAACAGCCCAAAAAAATGTCCAAAGAATCCAGCTACTCCAGTCGGACCAAGGTTCGCCTGTACCCCTCGCTTCAAGGCGCCAGGAAGCGTGCTCCGCACTGAAGGGGGCGCCTTCACTCGGAAAAAATTGTTTTCTTGGCGTTTTGTTCACCCAAAAATGGAAAAACATGTCGAAAAATGATGGGTCTTTACCACCCAAACATGATGAAATGCTGAACCATGTGGCTGTTGCGCGCAAAAACTCTGAGAGATAAAATTCCCCATTTCTGGACCAACCCGATCTGAGATTCGCCCAATCTCTGTCCAAAACAACACAAGTCAAGTAATTTCAAATTCAAAGTAAACTTCAAGTAATGTGGGTAAAACATGGCAAAACAATGCCATAAACCATCCCCCAAATTCCCAAATCACAAAAAAATGGGTACTATAAACCATCAAGATAATTATGGTTGGTTTACCATTATGGCCATATTATTGATATAAACATACATAAATAATCAATATATCAGTATATCAATAATATGGCCATCATGGGTTTTAATTACATACAACTGAAATCAAAATATGTATAATATCAATTAATATCAATTAATACCAACATATTATTGATATTAATTGATATTATACATATTGATATGATTTCTGTTGTATATTCAATTAATGTTTATGGTATATTGATATTAATTGATATATGGCCTTGATGCATCTTATGTTTATGGTTGGTTTCTGGCCATTCCAAGATACCAAGATGCGCGCCAGGTCCCCGGAATCCCGTGACATCCCGTGGCACCTGGTTGCCATTGACCACAGGACCTGCGGCGAAGAACTTTGGCAAAAGCCGCTAGCAGCTAGCGTTCACATAGGGCTACTTTAAATGGGCTACGAACGTAATCTGATAGAAACTCTGTTTTTCAAGTTTATATCATATGATATCCAATTCACAACCAATGTCTGTGTACTATTTTGATGGATAAATGGGGTTATAACTTTTAAACTCCTTCGTTATGTCTTGGTTGCCTAATACCCCGCTCAATGTTGGTCAGTAATCCCAGCCGCTCAATTCCTCGCCAAAAAGCAGAAAAATAGAAAAACTGTCTTCCTAAATGTTGTACTAGTATAGTGCTTAGTTTTACCATCTGGTTATGTATTTAACATAGCCATGGAAAATCCCTTATAAATATATGTTTTAATGGGAATATCATCTATAAACGGGCCATTTTCCATGGCTATGTTAAATAACCAGATGGTACTAGTATAGTCAGTGCTTAGTTTTACCTCATAATTACTGGTGTCCAACTGTTCTATCTACTTGCTTAGGTCTTCGAATCACACCAACAAAGCGTACAGCTACATGCTACAATCTATCCAGGTATGTCAACGGTATGTCAGAATTCTCAACCTGATTTAGGCTGTTTTGGAAGACTGCTCGTAGAACAAGAATCATGTGTCACAGTTTAACAACGACTTCCCCAAATCAAACGTCCCTTCTTTTCCACCACACATTTTTCCGCGGTCGCGCTCTGCGGCTATGCGGCTATGCGGCGCTAGTTGCAGGAACTCTTCCATTGGTTGCCGCTTCAGGATGCGCTTCTGCAGCTGCTCAGTCAATGCACAAGATGAGGTAACAGCCTTGTGACTAGGTGCACCAAGAGGGGAGGCTCCGCCCGACTGCGATTCGCCTGCCTCTGGCAGTGTCGATCTGAGTTGCATCCTGGATAGCACCACCTCCCGAGCGCACCATATCAAGCCGTTGCCTTTGACGTCACGGGAAAGGTTGAGGGTGGCGGCTTGTGCCACCTGTTCCACTGAAAGACCAAGTGGCTTGATGCAAGGGAATCCCTCAAAGACCTCACTTGGTCCTACCTGGTTCAGGTGGATCCATGATGGATCCCTGGGTCCTTGTCACCCTCCAACCCCTGGTTTCAAGACATTCGGCAAGGCCATGAAACCAGAGCCCTTGAAACAAATACATCTTGACCTGGCAACCCAGGCTCGAACAGAAACGCTCTGGATGAGATCCTGCAAATAACAGTTGATGTTTAGCTGGATTGTCTATGTTCATCTGTCCATTTCCATTCATGCAACAAAAAAGTATCAAACTGCGTGGTATCACCAGGCTTTCATCCCGGGTATCACCACTTCACCTAAATATTCTATGCTGGTTGGTGAATACACCCGTGTGTCATTGACTTTTACCCATAGAAATACAATGAAATTCATTGAAATCGAAACATCAATTTGTATCAAAATAAGTCTCAATGAAATCCCAATAAATACCCGTGAACATCACTTGAAAATCCAATAAAACTTCATGCTTGGTTGAAAAAAATCCTCCTGTTGGCTGGAAGAACTCCATCTGTATGGCCAGAGTCCTCATTTCATGTCTCCTTAAGGTCAGAGGTCTGACAAAAACATACAGTGTCTGTTGGTGAATCTCCCATGAAAATCCCCATAGAGGTCCCATGAAAATCGTCCTAATGAATTGGAGTAAATCTTCCGGCTTTTCATGAAATCCCCATGAAATCCCATGGAAATCTCCATACAAATCGCCAAACATGTCAGTAAATATAGTAAATTCTCCATGGTCCATGAAGAAAAACATGAAATCACCATAAAATCGCCACGTTTTTCCCCGTGAAGTCTCGATGAAATCAGACCCAAAGCGCGGTCGCCTCCCACACAGAGCTGTGGCCCAGAGCCATTGACCGAGCCGCTGGGGCTCGAGGCGGGCGCCTTAAGGGGCGCCATATCCATCACTAGGATTGGTACTATTACCCTCTGGTAAACTAACATAACTATGGAAAATAACCATTTTTCATGGGAAAATCCACTATAAATGGCCATTTTCAATGGTTATGTCAAAATAACTATTGAAGCCATGGCCATAGAAATAGTGAGTTTTCCCAGCTATAAAATGGTGATGTTCAATAACAATAGTTATGTAAACGTTTACCGGAGGGTATTATCAGTAGATTATTCTAGTACCCATGACGGATCCATGGTGCTGCTATATATGGTGACATGGATCCCATCAATATACCCCAGTCATGTTAGCATATATGCCAGCACCATGGATCCTATGGGGTATGGATAATATAACTAGGAGATTATCCAATAAATCGATAATAGTATAGAACTATTATTCAATATTATTGGTAACAATCTATTGGATAATAATCTATTGGATAATCTATTGGATAATCTACTAGTATGGATAATATAACTAGTAGATTATCCAATAGATTGTTACCAATAATATTATAGTAACTGATAATATCTATAGTATTATAGATTATTATGGTATTGGCTATTGGTATTCTAGTAGATTGTTGCTATTATCAGTAGATACCTAATAATAACCATAGTATAGGTATTATGATTGTTAGGTATCATCTATGGTTATTGTTATGTAGGTACTATCTATGGTGTCCATGTTAAGAACAAATCACTATGGTTGTTAGGTATCTAATAACTAGGATTGTTACTATTATCACTGACAAAGAAAGTAACAAAATACTGTCCTAGTGATATTATTACTAGTGATATAACATCATGGCCAGTGAAATTATTACCAGTGGTATCGTCAGTAGATAGTACTATAGTTCACAAAGTAACAACTAAGTTAGTCACATGAAGAACTTATAGTATGAGTGTTGACCATTGTCGCTATAAACCAATGGTTACAATCACAAGTAACAAATGTAATGATGGATAACACTACAAATAACATCATTATGATGTTTAATTACTATGTTATTCACAACAATAACAAGTAACAAATGAATAATGGTTAATTGTCAACCACATGATAGTTTATCATACTACCACACCACAGTTAACTAGTAAACATAAAGTTGCTGGCAAAATGTTGATTATCAATGTGGCAAGAGATTAACTATTATGTGGTTGCAAAACTCTCACTATATACCATCTGGTTATTTAACATAGCCATGGAAAATCACCATTTTTAATAGGTAAACCATCTATAAATGGTCATTTTCAATAGCTATTTTGACATAACCAGAGGGTATAAGTTTCATAAAGGGGACTATTTTCATGGGAATATGATTGGGGATAGAACATCGATACGTTTCATGGTAAAAATTTATTGGGGATGTCACATCGGAGAATCCATGGATTTCATCATGAACGCCTGGGGCCTGGTCCATAACTTTGGTAAATGATCAGATGGCTTGCACCATGGAGTCCATGTAGTCTGTTTAGGAAAATTAAACGGATGGGCCAGTTTGGTGCATCATGTTTTATATTTCATCTACCAAATATAGAGGTTGTTGAATGGGTGAAGCCTCTTCTAATCAACCAAGCCAGTGGGAAAAGGACATCTATGACAGTAAATTGGGGATACAGCAAAACCATGACAAAACCATCCGAAATTTGTGTACTTCCATAAATGGCAATACAGCAAAAACCATGACAAAAGTTGACAGAATATCATCCCAATTGAGTATGGTCTTGCCAAAAAACTATCCCATAACAAACCTAAGTTTTCTTAAAATCCCAGTATCCTGTCATTTCCCCCGTAACGATGAAAAAAATGGCAATATAAGAGAGAATCAGACTATATAAGTGGTGAAACCTCAAAACTGGAGTATTTTCTCCAATGTTTTTCTCCAATGTCAATGGATGGTATATCCGTGCCATTTTTAGGTCTAACTTCCTCCAAGAATTCCAGTCAGAATGGAAATCACAAGAAACCAACATGAATGGTTAAATCGGGTTTTTATAGTGAAATCAACAATGAATTTTAATAGGGTTCATGTCAACCCCGGATTAATAAACCATGGTTTATTAATTAGGGGGGTATTCCCCCAATAGTCATTATTTGATACTTTCATGGTACCTTCCCAATTAAATAGCCTAGGGGTTTATTAATCCAGGCTTGACATTAATGATTAAACACTATTAAAACCCTATTCAAATTGCTTCAACTCCCATTTCGCCACGAGTTTCCCACGTAACTCCCACGAAACTCCCACGAAACTCCCACGCCTGAAAGGCGTAGCTCGGCGCCGGATTCATCGCGGACATTGCCAGCCGCCGTAGCTCGTGCGCCGCCAGCATCAGCAGGCGCCGGTGCCCGAACCTTCCAACGATTCGCGATGATTCTGGATCTACCCTCTGCTTATTTAACATAGCCATGGAAAGATCTACCATTTTTAATAGGTAAACCATCTATAACTATTTTCCATGGCTATGTTAAATAAGCAGATGGCACACAGATAGAACACAGATAGGGTGACCTTGACTATAGTTATAGTAACAATCCACTGGTATCCATCACAGTGATGAGGATCACTATTGTCACTAGAGATAGGGATAGATGTATAAATGTAGACATATTAGGTTTGACTATAATGTATCTATATATATATATATGTATCTATAGTTTATAGATATCATTCATACTACTATATATGTATATTTATACTGTATATCTATAGTCATCTTTATAGTCTATAGATATCATTAATACTGTCGGTAGACATCATGTGTATATAAAAACGTACCCCGGATTGAGAAACTTTGGGACCTGGTGAAGTTCCCCAACAAAATTGGCGCCCAGCCAACTTTTTTTGGGGATAGATGAAGTTTTCTGAGGGTGGCTTATCTAATAATATCTAATTACTAATAATATCTATTTGGGGATATCTAATGATTTAATAAGCCAAGAACTCGAAAAAAAACTAATTACTAATTCCACCATCCATGAGTTGCAGCCACGGTAATATCAGCAAACAGAAGCGCTTTTGGGATCTTTTGGGATATGGAAATGAGATAAAATATATTAAAATATGATAAAATGAGTCAAAAGCTTGGGGGAATCCCTGGAAATCACATCAAAAATCATCAATCCAGCCGCCCTTCTGAGCTCCCCCTGCTTGGGGACGGAGAGCTCGGCGAGGTCGCTCTCGGTCAAGCTCAACCTGAGCTCGGAGAGCTGGATCGTCATCCCACGAATCGTAAGTGGGTTAGTTCACCCCAGTTATAAGTGGATTAACCCTACTTATCCCATTGATAACTGGGGTTATGACCCACTTACTAAGTGGGATGAGCCACCAAGTGGTAAACTAAGATAGCTATGAAAATCATGATTTATAGGTAAATCGCCTGTAAATGTGTAGTTTTCCATAGCATTTACTGGAGAGTACCCTAAGGTAAATTATGGTAAACTAATATGAATCTCCGCCAATCCACTGCTCAACGAATCCGCCGTTGGTGGGTCTCCCCACCCAATGACTCCAAACTGTAAATGTTATATAAATGGTTGTGTCCTTTCCATTGTTTATAGTTAGTTATACCTTCCATGATTCGTTCGTTTCAACCTTGGTGTCTCCCACAGACTTTTTTGGACAGTTGGAGTTCCAACAGGATTTTCACAGTGCATATACTGTAGACTGTAGCAAAAATGATATAGCTATTTGGTGACATTTCAGGGCTCTATCCGATCTATCCCCATTCGGAATGGTGAAAGTCAAATTCTCACTGGTCTCTGCTGATTTTGTTGTGCCTTTCGTGTCTTGCTGAATGCCCTAATATTGGCTCCACCTTCTGCAAATGATCCTCATGTCTTTTGGCTCAAGGACTCCATATGGTGTCAGAACAGGTCCCACGACACAAGCCATTCGAACCAGCCAAAGGGGCTTTGCTCATCGCCGGACCCCAAAATCCACCCGAAAGCTGGTTTCAGTGCTGAATTTCCAGCCATTCCAGATGTTCCCAGCATTTTCCCATCATATGTTTACCACCATTTCTTCCACCCATTTCCCCGGTTCCAGGTTCCAGGTGTTTCCAGGTTTCCAGGTTTTGCCGCCTGGCAACAGCACCTTCCCCGTGATCGCCTGCTGCTCCACCATCTGCACCAGCTCCTGTGGCGCCAGGAAGACCTCGCTGAGCCACTGGCAGACCTCCGCTTCCTGCCACTCCTGCGGCGATCCCATGGATCCCATGGGGATGGTGAGGGACATATGGGGATGGTGAGGCCTAGGGTAAATGATAGGGATTTAATCAATGGGAGATCTTCAGGATCCTAAAAATGGAGCTACTAACTTAGTACCATATGTTTGGCCATATGAATTCTGGGGATATTCCCTGAAATTTATGCCTCAAAAATAGGTTTTATATATGGAATCGGTACCTCCAATGAATCGGTTCCTGAGTCATGACCATTGAGATGGTGAGGCCTCTGGTAAACTCACATAGTGAACTGGAAAAATGCCACATTTATAGTGATTCAGGGATTCATATTTATTTGTTGAACTGATGTATGGGGATGTAATTGATGTAACTACAAACTACCCTATTTGTGTTGAAAAGTAGACATAAGTAGACTGCTTGGCTAACTTCACAACTGCTGTTTCACTAGGCTGTGTCGTGGGTATCGAACTATAGTTCACTAGGGGGGACATAAACCAACAAACATCACCATGGGAGCTCACTAACTTCAATGGGTCTATGAAAATCTAAGGTTTTTGTTAACCGAAAAAACCATGGTCAACTTCCCAGCAAGTTGATTTCGGGGAAACCTTGCAGATTTTGAGAAACAAAGCGAAGCACTGAGAGAATTCTTACTGCGGAAAGCGGTCTCCGCTGGTGAAGAAACTGGGAACATGATCAGCGGTGGTGACCGACTCGAAAAAACATGGCAAGATGTTCATGGGAAATCCAAACCAAAATCACCTAGAAATGAAATGGGGTTTACCAGGTTTACATCGTGGATTTACCATGATTTTTGGGTGATTTTGGGGGATTTCCAATGAAATGAATATACATGATTTACCATGAAACCAGGTTTACATCTTGGATTTTACCATGGATTTTGTTACGGGGGACATATCCGATATATCCAGCATGAAATGATTTCGTCCCGCACTGGATTCCCAATGAAATGAATATAATCCGTGGCTTTTCCAGAACACAATGGGGGAAGCAACCAGAAAACTGGGCTCTACTGGCTTCATGGACAAGCCATTCTTCTGCAGGGTCAACCCCAAGGCAGCCACTGGATTACCCAAGAATGTCATGGCTACTGTGGTAAACCCAATAATCAACGTTGCCATCATTCCATCATTAACCACTATCAACTATGCTTAAGTCTTACTATCCCATATCGACCATGGTCCATGTGCTCATTGACGTTGACGATGGCCCTTATGAACTAACACTGGGTTGCTATCCCCTGCCATCTTATTGACCATTCTAAACCATGATTAACCATCATCAATTATCAGTAACCATTATTAACCACTATCATCCCACTAACCATTGTCTCCGGCTGAATTCTTCTAATTCACTTTTTCTACCCTGAGAAAATCGGCACCTTGCGACCAATTTGGGGATCCATTTTTGCATCCGGCCGTCCCGTCATTCCAGTGACGGAACACCGGTTTAGTGAGGTCAGCTGGTTTAGTTTCACCACATTGATGACTGGTTGGTGGTTCACCACATTTACCCATTGATAGTGGATTTACCCATTAAAAATGGTGATGTTCCATAGTTATGTGGCAGTTTACCAGAGGGTAATGGGAATAATATAACTGCTGGTTGGTGGTTTTAACCATCTTGAAAAATATGAAAGTCAATGGGAAGGATTATCCCATCTATTATGGAAAATAAAAACTGTTCCAAAGCACCAACCAGGTTCCTTCCATCTGCCATAAACCATAGTTTTCCTGCTAACTACCAATGATTGATGTCATACTCCTCTAGTATCATCCATTATCATTCATGAACCACTAATATCCATTAATTAATTGAATATCATTCACCATTATTAGCCACTATTATCCCATTATATACCAACCATGATACCCCCATCCCAGCCGGAAATAACAATGCTATGTTCTACCTAGCCATGTCGCTCCTGCACGGGCCGCTGACCCGCGCCCTGGACCTTGCAGGCCTAGGACTTCATAGAGACACCAGAAAAAAAAAAAACAGGGATTTCATGAGGGTAACAACCCAACAAAGAAAGGGTTTTAAATCTATGAGTTGAGCAACCAACAATGTGGAGTTTAGCAACAAAAAGGATGAGAAATCACCGACAGTGAAGGGTGATTCGAGCAACAGAACGTCGTCTTGAGGTCCAAAGGCGGTTTACCTGATCCCAGTGCACCAAAGGCGGCTTAACCGCGGCGTTCCCGCGTTCACCAACAGAATACTCCAAGGGTAGCAGTTTGTTGCCGTATAACCCCATCCAAATCTGTGCATGTACATCTATGTACACATAATATACATGCGTATATACATATCATATACCTGTATAACATATGTATATACATAAAATATATATATATATATATGATAAATTGAATCATAGTAAGCCGAGTGAAAAAGGTTATCTCAATCCCCAGTCATATTCATTCAATCCCCATGTTTCCCAATGTTTTGAATGGTTGAATCCCATTGTGTTAACCTGTTTCTTGGTACTATCACAATGAATCATAACTGGTTGGTAGTTTCAGCCCCTCTGAAAAATATGATTCAGTTGGGAATATTATATATTCCCAATATATGAATATATGGAAACATAAAAAATGTTCAAAACCACCAACCAGACATTTGTAGATGACTTGTTCCATCAAAAGCCCATTAGAACCATTTAGAACCAACCAAATCCCATTAAACCCCAATGAAATCCTACTCCTCGAGCCCCCCAACCGTGGCCGGGATGAATGAAATGGGCGCAGCCACCAACCTGGCACCCCTTGAGGCGACAACGCGACACCAAAATGGGAAAAAAAACATGTGGAACCTGAGATCATTCATGGATTTTAATGTGGATTCCTGCGGATTGATTCATTCATGGCTTACATGATCTTACATGTCATTACCAGGGGACCATCGGTTCATAGGGATTTTGACATCTATACCCCATGCACGTCTTATCCAATGAATCCAATGACACCCAGATGGTATATTCGGTTCAAAGAGCATCCCAGTTCGGAAGTGATCATAAGCATGGTGAGTCCCCGACAAGTCTGCACGGTCTTCTCATGGTTCCTCAAAGAAACCATAAAAAATATCCATTTCTAGATGAGTTTCCCATGAAATCTCTCATTAAAGCATCATGATTCCCATCTCTAGCCCAACGATTCTGGTTTTCATCCATGTAACCCATCATTTCTCCAGATGTTTCCAGATTTTTCCCATGAAAATCGCCTCCAAATTCTGGTGCTCCCTATCCCCCCATCCCCATCCCCACCTCTTCTCCAGCCTCACGTGGGGCACGCTGCTGGAGCGCTGGCTCGGCGGCGCTTCCGCCACGGGACGTGCCACGGGACGTGCCCAGGTGGGGACCTGCCTTGGCGAGTCGTGGAGTCGTGGATCAGACAGTGGTTAAAAAAGTGGTTAAAATAGTTGTCATCCATTAACCATTAACCATGTGGTTAATGTGGTTAGTGTGGTTAATGTGGTTGATGTGGTTAATGTGGTTAATGTGGTTAATATATGGTTAATATATGGTTAATATGGTTAACCATGGCTGTGATTATCCATTAACAATTGATTAATGGTTAATGGTTGCCATGGCAACCATTAACCATTAATTAACCGTGAAAACCATCCTTGATAATAATTGTTAATGGTAGATGACAATTGTTAATACAATGGTAGATGACAATAATCACGGTTGATGGTTAATGGTTAATGATATTTAATAATTCTCAAATGATAATAGTGGTGAATAATGGTTAACAGTGAAAAACTGGACCATTTTTTCCACTCATGAATGGGATAATAGTTACTGGTTAATGGATGGTAATGGTTTTAATCTTCCCATTTATAATGGTTTATAGTTAAGAATAGATGATCTTGGAGATTAACTTGATAAATGGATGTGTCCTAATGTTTCCTAACATGGGGAGTGCCCATTTTTATCATCCAGGCGTCATGGATGACCATGACTTAGTATTAAAACATATTGAAACCCATCACTTGCGGCTCTTCCTTGACTTGAGAAGCTCCCTCAGAAAAAATGTGGGTATGCCATGTTTACCATCCCCCAGTCATCACCAGTTTTATAGCTGCTATGTTTACCATTCCCAAATGGGTGATATATATTGTTAGTTAGGTTTTAACCACATTATGAATCTTTGGTGGTTTATCATGGTTACAGTAAGAACATATGATCGTGGAGATTAACATGATACATGGAAGTGTCCTAATGTTTCCTAAAATGGGGGGGTATCATGGATGACCATGACTTAGTATAGGTTAACCCATGGTTACTTGCGGCCATGACTTCAGAAACTCCCCTATCTCATTTATGAATGTGTGTTGGTTGAATTCCCCATATGCCCTTGAATCTACACTCTCTGGCAGTCTCTGTAGTGTGTTCTGAACAGTATCTAGTTGGTGGTATACCTGCCCCTCTGAAAAATATGAAAGTCAGTTGGGATGATCATTCCCAATATATGGAAAATAATGTTCCAAACCACCAACCAGTTGATGATTTGTGACGGGGATGATGCGTTGCCCAAATGGGCACCATGGGGAATATCACCATCCACCTCCATTTTTTTTCGGGGAATCACATTCTCGACCAGCCCGTGTCAAGGGCCAACAAGTTCTCATTTTCAACGGGGAAACCAATCTTTATTGAAACCAACCAGTCATGATTCATGATTATTCACAACGTATTAGTTGGGATGTAAAATACAGCAACCCCCAAAGATATGCAGGACTTTACCTTCATTTGCAAATGACGATGTGAGCACTTGAATGTTTTAGGATCATGAGGCAAAAATCTATCAAAACCATCAGAATGGAAGAATTTTCCCCAGAAACATGGCGGATCAAGGGGATGTTTCCATTGGGCTGCAGAAATATATCACAAGTTCCTCCAAGAAAACGGCTGTTTCATCCGTCATTTCACCAATAGCATTGGTCATTGATGAGATCACAGGGATTGTCAGTAGCATTGGCAACATCATGTTCATCGTGGCAACGGTCTATGCGTCGGCAAAGTACGATTTATGGTGTAGACCATGGGGTTATATAGTTATAGTTAGACCATGGTGGTTATAGTCATTTATGGTATATAACAAAACCCCATTTATGGTATATTTACCCATGGTTCATGTCTAGATGGGGTTATAAACCAACAAACATGACTGGTGGGCCCCCCTTCCTTCAGGCCGATGTGAATTACGACCCATGTTTAGAAAGGTACCCTCTGATAAAGTAACATGACGAACTGGAAAATCATGATTTTCGATAGGTAAATCAACTATTTCTATAGCCATGTCCAATAGCTATGTTAGTTTACCTGTGTGTATCAAATTCACGGTGTTAGAAATTCCTCATCGTGAACTCATGGGAAACCAAAATCGCAAATGCCAGGCCAATCGGCCAATCTTACCCTTAATGAAACATCGGCGAACTGGAAAATCACCCGATTTAACGTGATTAAAGCACTGAAAATTATCACCATGTCTTAATAGGTAAATCATCATCAATCATCTCAGAATGGGCCATTTTCCATAGCTACATATATGGAAATTTACCAGAGAGAGAATACCATGCGATATATCAACAGCATTCCCATTCCCTGTTGTTTAAACCTCTTCTGCAGGAGAATGATGCCAATTTCAATGATTAATCCATTAAAATGTGCATTGGTTTATATCTTCACTACCCAATTTCTTCTCGATGTTCCTGAATCCTTGGCGATGAATATTCTGCCAAATGGGAGGATTTAGAAATCACATCACCTTATCTGTTCCCCTCTGGTAATTTAACATAGCTAACTTTCAAATGGCCATTTATATAGCTGAATCACCCATGAAAAATCTAGATGTTCCTTTCGCAAACTCTTAGTTTACCAGAGGGTAGAGATTCCTAAAACATCCTGAAACCCTAAAACCCTAAAACCCTAACCCCCAATAGTGATCGTTTTATTTGGACATTTACCAAGCCCTGGACCGCCAGTCACAACGGACCCAGCGACATGGTCGGTGCGCGGGGCGGAAAGGCGCTGGGCCTCGAGTCGCTGTGAATCCAGTGGTGGATCATGGGCACAACATGGGAAAAGATCTGGAAATTATGGGAATAACATGGAATAACTGTCCCATTAGATGGGATCTGGAAATTATGGGAAGAACTCGTCTTGTGCAGCTGGGCTGGTTTTTCTGAAATCAATTTGAACGGAATTTCCGAAGTTCGTAGAATCGTGGGGAAGCAATGTTGGGATTTGTGCCATGGCCTCAGGGCCGAATGAGCCATGACGTGAAATTTCACCGGCCAGGGAAAAGAGAAGTTTCCTACGGGTTTCTTTGACTCAGAAGCCAATTCTGAAAGATTGGAAATAAATCTTCACCAAGGACTGACCTCAGAAACCAAGTTTTGGAATCTGGACGAATTATGATTCCGTCATTCTCAAATCAGAAATCGGCCCATGAACTATCGTGTGGTTCGGAAAGTCCATTTGCATCTCCTGCAGTCCCCATGTTTTTTGGTACCAAAAAAAAAACAATCAAATCCAAACAGAGTTCCAAACTATTCCCTCCATTCACCAATCAGATCGACTTTACCCTAGCACCCAGTCATGCCCCGAAAAGTTCCACCATGGGGATAGGCCCACCCCACCCCAAGCGCCCAAAAAAGTTTTCCTTCCATTCTCCTGAGATCCCCTGACACTTCATAGGCTCCAAATGGCTGAGCCTGCGCTATCTGATGCTGCAGATGCACCAGCCACACTGGTTGGTGGTAGCATACCTACCCCTCTGAAAAATGATGGACTGAAAGTCAGTTGGGATGATGATTTTTCCCAACTGAATGGAAAAATAGATAAAAATGTTCCAAACCACCAACCAGTTTATACTTATAGCTATTGAAAATGGCCCATTTCTAGTTGATTTACCCATTAAAGATTGTGATTTTCCAGTTCGCAAACTGTTAGCTTACCAGAGGGTACACTTGGGATAAACATTTTGGGATGGGTCAAGCTCCATGTCCCGTCATGGGGGTGAATCAAGCTCCCGATTCACCCAGCTGTCAGCTGCCTGCAAGACTGCCAGCGGCGCAGCGAGGGGTCCTGCGCCGCAGGCGTTCCATCCAAGTGCTATATCCATCGTGCAATCCTAGTTATGCCCAACTTATAGTTCGAATCTTGTGAAAAACTGAGACAAATCTCAGTGATAGTTCCAAAGCAACTTACCTCTCATCAACAGAACGATAAAAAATGTAAATCTAGTTTCTGATAATAATTCACGTGTCTGCATCTTTTTGGAAGTTTGCTCTGCACTTCACCTCACACCCTTCAAGGCCCCAGGGTCGCGCCTGGTGCTCCCCAGACACGGAGCGTCGGCGCACAGGGCACGCGCGCCACGGAAGGTGCCACTGGTTCGGCCGGAAGAACTGAGGGAATCGCAGCAGTCACCTGCCAATCCGTGGCTTGGACCAAACAAACAAATGCCATGTTTTTTCACCCGGGAACATGGTGGTTTCACCATCAAAAAACAAATGTTTTTATATGAGGGTTAACTTGAACAGTGATCCCTGGTTTTCAGATGGTTTTCAGACGTCCTCCATATGAACAGTGGGCGTAACCGTAACCATCCAAAAAAATGTGGAATTAACAGGACGTTAAAGGATCTTGAAATGGGGATACCTGTAACTAAATAATATATACAATATGAAATCTATATTACAATATCATAAAATTATATAACATCATAAATATATACATACATACATACATACATACATGGATAAGCATGACAATCGGATTCAAAAAAAGTTTCGTATCGAATGTAAAGAAGAATTCAATTTGAATTTAATTCCAACGTGTCTGTTCTTCATTTGACCTTCAAGCAGGAATTAAATTCAAATTTAATTCTTGTCATGGACTGCATTGTCTGGAACGTGCCGCGGACTTCTTTTTGGCCAGCCAAAGGGTTCCAAAGCGCCAAAAGCAGATCGAAGATTTTCCGGTGCCTGCAAAGCAAGCCAAGTGATTGTTCTAAGCGATGCAAGTCTCTCTTACTGGATCCATCCGGTGCAGCCTACAAAAATCAACATACGAACTTGTGCGGGTGAAACTTGGTGATCTCTCATGAGAATGGCCCAAGCTGCTTAGCGTATGGCGTGGCCTGACATTTGTATGCACCTGCCGTGCCGTCTGCCGGCGTAACAGTGGTGACACACATCTCGGCCGCCAAGAGATGGATGCCTCACTGAGAGCGCGCCACCATGCAAAGCCGCAGCGGCGTCTTTGCGTAGGCCCTGCTGCCTGATGTTTGGCAACTTTGCCTACGTTTAAGCTCTGCTGTTTTCTGGAAAGCTGGCGACTTCGACCGATTGAAGTGCCGGTGTGTGAAGCACGATGCCTTGTATACCGATGCGGGAGCCCGTGTGCCCACCAGCCAGAGCCCTGCTGCTTAGACCACACTGATGGCCACGAGGTGGCATTCTTGCCAACTGCTTTGGATCTTGCTGATAGATAGATAGATAGATAGACAGACAGATAGGTAGATAGATAGATAGATAGAAGGAAAGATAGATAGATAGATAGCTAGATAGATAGATAGATAGATATATAGATAGATAGATAGATAGATAGATAGATAGATAGATAGATAGATAGATAGATAGACAGACAGACAGATAGATAGATAGATAGACAGATAGACAGATAGACAGATAGGTAGATTAATTGGTCGATAGATAGATAGACAGATAGGTAGATAGATAGATAGATAGATAAATAGAAAGAAACGTCACATATACCACAAGTCACAAGTCTCTGTTTTCATTGGATTTTACACCTAAACATAGATGTTTCCTATTCGCGTGTAGTTGCGATCTTGGCCGCGTGTGCATACGATCCACTTCCCAAAGTCGTTCGCGTGTACATGCGATCTTTATTTCGCGTGTACATGCGACCCTCCGACCCACCCCAACCCCAACGTAGCATCCGCACCTTGATCCACTTGTCAAGAAAGTTAACACTGCCCCGCCCCAACCTAGCATCCACTGCGTGATCCACTTGTCAAGAACGTTAACACAAACTTCCTCCAAAAATACAAACTGCCGGATCTCGACCCGCGGGGGTCCGCAAATTCGACCCCACCTACCGCCAAAATCTCAAAAAGCGGACCCCCGCAGATAGGTGCACCAACCTGCCCCCGGAAAACAGAAATCAACCAACGCCTTCAAAAGTAGTCGCGGTCAGATCGCTGTGCCTAACATTCTTTTCACGAAGCCATCTTTGCGCACCCTTGCGCAACGTCTCCTTCTCCAAAAAGGATTCCGTCGCCACATGCACACATGGCTTCCGTTTCCGACCACGGCGAACTTCTTGGTCCGACATCTCTCAGAAACAAATATAGGAAAAGAATTAAGGATCAGGCACCAGAAGACAGCAAAGCCAAAGAATTAAATTCAAATTAAATTCCTGCAGTACGTGCCCAACAGTCCGGTAGCCAGAGAGGGGGAATTAGATTCAGATTTAATTCGAATTGAATTTGATTTCCAGTCTTATTTATACAGACATACATACATACATACGTACGTACGTACGTACATACATACATACATACATACAATAGCCCGTCTAACCTGTGAAAAACATTGAAATACCACCTATAAAGGGACCCAAAATGAACATATCCTTTATTAAACCAAGGTTTTTAAGGGCAATATCTAATAATTACTGGGCCAAACAAACCCAGAACCATGGGAGCCTTAAATGCCCCAACAGTCCAAAAACTGGTCGCCAACAGGTCGCAATGGGTTTGGCTGAAAATGGTGCCAAAATTTTGATGATTTGGTTCATCATTCTTCCAGTTGAAACATGCTTACATGACAATTCTTGGGTATCCTTCACATGTCTTGGACACCTTTAAATCCAGGCACGACCACTGAAATTGTCATGCAATAATCCTACCCCCACCCAAATATGAAACACCTCAACAATAAATCTCCTACCAAAAGACGGCTTTGGGTGGTGTTCAATGTCCGGGGAATGGGATGAATGTGAACCAACCATTAGGGGATGATTTTACCATGTATGAGCATATTGGGGATGGTGTGCCATACTGTCTACATGAAGAATGAACAAAAATATGTCGGACTTTAATGAATGACGTTGCCGAATTCACGTTTGAATCAAGTCAATGACGACAACTTACCCGTAAATGAAATTGTGATAAATTTGTGTTTTCTACGGCGCTGGTCTTGGGCCAGTCTGGTTTCCCGTTGGTGATTTGAGTGGGATAACGGCATTCAAGTGCCAAACACCAAAATTTCTGATAGACAAAAATAATACACAACTAAATCTACATTAAATACATTAACTTACTAAAGGCACCTTGCCCCACCGCCCGTATCGACTCCGTGGGTTGCCGACAATGAGTCCATGGATTCGATGAAAAAATGGTATAGCCATGGCCCAGTCGAAATTGAGTGGATTTACCCAGCTACATAGCATGGTGATTGTCCAATTCGTTATGTTAAATTGCCAGAGGGTATCTTATATTCTTTAATATTATTTGTTTATTTGCTCAATGATTTTGATTGTATGTACGACAACTATTGACAATGATCATAGACTTTGGAATCCATCACAGTAAACCGTCCCAAATTGTCAACTATAAGAGGTTTCCTTCAACACCCAAGAATCCAATATTGCCAAATTTCATAAGACATTGATTGGGGATGTTTTAGAGTAGTATTGTGGATATAACATTGAACCCAACACAGAACACCTTGGGGGATGGTGTTCAATACCCTTACTAAGCAAAATTGGTTCAGACTGGAGGTTGCCTCAAGGATCGCTGAAGTTGCCGCAAAGTGGTGCATCGCTATTATAAGTTGGTGTCCTACCACCCTGAACTATAGATATTACCTACGATAAATATCGATAAATCATGTATATATGAATATATATATATATATTAATCATAAATTAAAAACCAATTTAGCTAACTATGAGGCGCCACTTTGCAACCTTTACCTACCCCAAGGCCTGCTCTTTCTTCGTTTCGGTTGCCAGCGCTTTCGCCGTGCCCACTGGGGCTGCCACGGTTGCAACCGCCGGCGCCGGAAAGTCGGAATTGCTGGGCCTAGGGCCATGCAAGGGGGGATAAACTATCAAAAATCACAGAAAAAAAATAATTGATCAAGAATCAAAAATTCGGGTTTAACATGCATGGCTAAACCATCTTGAACGTGGGGATACATAACCAATACCAACTTGTAAAGTACCCCTCATGTGCGAAATTAAAAAAATATCTATATCATTCTATATCATACTAAACATGGGGCATACTTTGTATCTGCGGACAGGTGTTAGATATATTTTACAAAATGTAGCGCGCCTAGTTTCCAATCTATGGTTTTGCACCAGGTGATGAAATTTGTGTTCATGGGGATGTCGTACTGGGATACAATGGGGCATGCGCCCAAAAATGTCATTAGAGCATGGCTCAAGATTTCGGCGCCGTCGCACGCCAAAAGTTTGTCATTTGGCATAGAATGGCATCGAATGGTTCATTCCCCGGGGCTGAACATATGCACGCAAAGGTTTATGCGTGTATGCATACATAAACAGGATGCCGGGGTCTGAAGACAGTCTAGAACAAACGGGAACCAACCCACGACCGCAGATCCTGTGACCTCCGCATATGATGAAGGCATGAGCAAAATTGTCACGAGGAAAAGCCCTAGCTTGGCCCCGACAGTACATGGCCAAGCAAGCATATGACAAAAAAAGGTTTCGTCGAAAGGCTTTTGGGAACAAACAGCCTAGACACGCTGGTGTCAAAGCCATGCCCAGTAAAACTGGCTTCTTTTTGGGGTTCCAAGCAAAAGGGCGCGTGCCAGTTTCAAACCTGCAGGATCGTGCAGAGTTGTGTTCCTTTCGCTCCCCGCTGCTAGGAGCCGGGCTTCGGCGGGATATAGGCCTGAACGTCGGGCGGGCTGCTCGATAGCTGCGCGGGCAACTCAGTCCGCGTCGCCAAGATGCCCCAAGAGCGCCGAGCGCAGCGCTGTTTCTGATTCAAACCCTGTGGCCAAGAAAGTTGCAACGCTTGGAATATCTTCGGTGGATGTTGAGGAGGATCCTCTGAGAGTTTGCAGCATGGGTGCTGAAGGTCTGGAGTTCTTTTTGCTTGTCGGTGAAGAAACAGGGACTACGTCACAACATTCGTCAAATTCCAGTCCGTTGCCCAAACCGCCAAGAAAACTCAAAAAAGCTTACAACCTGGAGCTGAAAGTCATCAAAGGTCGCCTCTTTGAGTCAACCAGTGCGACTGTAATAATTAGATCAAAGTCCGGAACTTGACAACTTGACTAGAAATGTGCCCGCTAACCAGCCGCTCAGTGCCCATGCAAACACGATAGCCTTCAAGCGATGATTAGTAGAACCTTTTCTTTGCTTTGTTCGGGAAAATAAACAAAACAATTACCCTTTCGTTGCACCTGTGTGTTGATGATGATGATGATGATGAGGAGGAGGAGGAGGAGGAGGACAAGGAGGACTCACGACTTGGAAGTCGATTTGGGATCACGTTTGATATTTCTCTATGAAAAAACACTGATTCAAACATTCAGATTTTTCAGCAACACTTCAATGGGGATCGTGGGCTATTATATAACCCATCAGAACATCTGCGGAGAATTTAAGCATTCCCGGCCATAAAACCACTGGGGAAACGACGACTTTTGGAACCCATGGATTTGGGTGAATCAACATGTTGACCACTTCCGTCAATGTCAATGGATGAATCAAAACCTATTAGGGAAATGGCCATCTGCTTGGTGGTTGAGCCTACCCCTCTGAAAAATATTACAGTAGTCAGTTGGGATCATGACATTCCCAACTGTTTCTGGAAAGTCATAAAGTTCATGTTCCAAAGCACCAACCAAATGTCCTACGTAGTGATAGGGCCAGGGAATGTGGTACAATTCAGGATGAATCAACAGCCTCTTTGGGGCGGTTGGGGTTCCCATCCGTTGACCAACTCGCTGGGTCAGCATTCAACAGGGGATGGGATTTTAAAAAACCAAATCCTGGTTGATCCACCACGGGGATCTGTAAGGGAAAACAGAGATCATCTTCAAGAAATCCTGGTTCGCCAAGTGGGACGCTGAAAAAAGAACTCATTCTGAAAATGTTGAAGTCCTAAAAGTTCAAGGGAATCATCCCTAGTAATTTATGGATAGATGATAGATGTGATAATGTGATATTCCATATAGCCTATTGATAGTGATTATGGAACATATCAAATTCATCTCTCATGTTTATGGATTTTATAGATGATTCACCAAAAATTGTGATTTTCCATAGCTATGCTAAATTATATAGATGGTTTTTACAACTGTTATTTTTCTATCTGGTTGCTACAAGTTGAGGCCGGGCAGTTGTGTTTGTTGGTCTATAAACCCATTAACTAGTTCCATATATCTACCATAAACCGTAGTTCCAACTTCGCCATCATAAATCAGCTTTTCATCCCATGAAATCATATGAAATCCATCATCTTTGTTGCGTCAAATCACCATGTCTTCCGTTTCGGTTCGAAACTTCTAGGGCCTCAGAACTGGCTTCCCAAAATGTCCATTTCTCTTGGTGAAATCACCACTTTCCCATGGTTTTCCCATGGTTTTCCCATGGTTTCCGTTTCGCTTCGACGCGAGGGGCCGCTCACGGCCTGCTCCCAGTCCATCTCATCGTAGGTTTGTACCAAGGTACCTCGTCGAATCGACCTTGGAGGCCATATTTTATGGGGATGTTCCCTTACATAGGCTTCAAAAAAAGGCCTTATATATGGTAGGTACCTCCAATTTAGGATCCTGAAATGGCCATTGACTATATGATATATGGTCTTTATGTGGGTTTTATATGGTCTTTATATGGTCTTTATATGGGTTTTATGTGGTTGATATATGTGGTTTTTGAATGTTTTTGATATATCCCATCTGCGAACCATGGTGCTGGTATATAAAAACCTGCAAAACTGGGTGTTTTTTTCTGGGGCAAATGCTAGTAAATATTCCAGACATGGAGCATATGGGTATGGTTTTATATTGTCTTATATGGTTCTATAATCTATAATCGGATTTATATGGATTTATATGGTCTTAATATGGTTTCTAGAGTTTTGACAGTTTTGTATGATAGCGATATCCTCTAACTCTACAATACGGAAACGAATGGGGAAGATATGAAGATAAACTCTTGGAATTTGATAGGATTGTCCATTGTTAACCATCCATTTTGGGGTCCCCATTTACGGAAACCTCCATATGTAGAATAGGGATGAATAGGGGGGTTATCGCGTGCAGCAGTTGATCCTCCAGCTTCTGACAGGGCTTCTCTAGCACTGACAAATTCCAAGTGTGAATGGAAAATGACATCTAGAAGTGAAATTGTAATGGTATATATCAATGGAAAATATAAGACCTAGAACATCAAGTCCCAAGTGTAAATGGAATATGTGATAATATGTTATAATATGTGGATGTCTATTGCCTGATCTCCAGCGTCAAAGGCTCGGAGAATGGAACATCCAGAAACTGAGGATCTCTGGTTTCAGCAAAATCGCCAGCCGCAGTCAAAACTGGCACTCTCCAGCCACTCCAGGGTAGAAAAGAACCTGGGAATCTTCCTAAAAAATCATCATACCCTCTGGTAAACTAACATAGCTATTGAAAATGGCCATTTATAGTGAGTTTTCCTATTAAAAATGGAGATTTTCCATAGTTATGTTTGGGAATCTTCTCAAAATCCTCAAATCGTTCCAAGGATTTCCCTCCAGGAATAGCAGGGGTTCATCAGAAAACCCTGCTACCCTTCTGTTCATCTTAGCAGAGCTGGTTGAACTGGACCTGCATTCACCTCAAATATGGTGCTTCATAGGTTTTGACGTATCCCCAAATGGGGGGGTTCTCGAGCCACGGGGGATTCACAAGTCACCATGGGTTAACCTATACTGAAATGGATTACCCTCTGGTAATTTGTTACATAGCTATTGAAAATGGCTATTTATAGTGGATTCTCCCATTGAAAATGGTGATTTTCAATAGTTATGTTAGTTTACCAGAGGGTAATTAGAATGGTCATCCAAGACTTGGATGATTTGGGGTACTCCCATGACTTAGGAACCCCCCAAATCGTCCCCCTTACTTGATCTTACTTGGGGGCGCGGGCCCCACTTCATAAATGGCTTATCCCCCCAGTGTATGGAATATCGCCTCTTAATCCTCTTATATATATATATATATATGGGATGAAATATGGGTTCTATATGGGGGGTTCCATAAAATTCTTGGTTTATAATGGAAAATGCCATGAAAATGGATGATAAGTGGCTGTTACCCCGCAAAATTTCAGGAAACTACCTTATGGTGTGTAAAATAAACCACTTGCTAAGTGGGGCCACATCCAAGTGCTCCCCTCACAAAGCGTGCGCATCCCAGAAGCTCTTTCTGCGCCGAATCCATCCGGGGACGCATGCATTCCTGCGCCGTCGCAGCCTCACCCGGACAAAAATCGGCGCCACCCTTTTCTCTCTCTGGGCATCTGGAGATGTTCGGACCTGAAACCTTCAGGTCCATCCTTTTTTGGAGGCGCAGATTTAGACCTATAAACCATCCAGTTTCAGCTCACAAAATTTCAGTGGGCGAGTCATAATCTCCACCCGTTGGGGTCGTGGAGCCAAAGCACGAGATCCCAGAAACACCTTGGTCCGGGCCTGGAATACCGGACCTGGGTCGTATCTTTCTGGTGACAAATGATATACCTGGTTGGTGGTTGAGCCTACCCCTCTGAAAAATATTAGTCAATGGGATGGATTATCCCATATATTATGGAAAAATGAAAAATGTTCCAAACCACCAACCAGGTATAGGTCATTTTGAAAGGGAATCTGTTCAAGTTGGGACATTCCGAAGTTTGAGCCGATTCCAATTTTGGGGGTCAGGCTGTCCCTGAGCACCCCTTTAAATAGATGCAGCAAAGTCATATCCAATCCTAAAATACAGCGGTAGATTTAACCGTTCCTTCTGGGGCTGCTATATTCCAATTGGATAGTTGTTGACAACCCATCTATGACTGGTTGGTTTCCCCATCAAAAGTGGTTTCCCCATTGAAAATGGGGGGTAATTTAACATTTTTCATGGGAAAACTCACTATAAATGGCCATTTTCAATAGCTATGTTACAAATTACCAGAGGGTAATATTCAATCCACTCCACTACTTGACCCAAGGGCAAATCACCTATTGATTTCCAGGATTATTCCGGTGCTTTCCATTTCGAGTGACAGGGGGTTCCGTTTGCCACGTTAAGTGATAAGAGGGTACTCCATCACTCCCATATGATATACATAACATATACACACAGAATCAGAACACAAAAAACATGGCCCAATACCCAAGAAATACCGAAGTACATCCGTAAACCCCATTTCAATCCACCCCGAAGTCATCGCCATGTATGCCATGTTTCTGGGTGCGAAGTCATAAACCATCCCCAAATGGTATACATATACAATCATATAATCATATACATATATGTGTGTATATCTATGTTTAGACCCTTTGGGTTTCCCACAAAAAAACACACCACTAAGCCATTCGAATGACGAGCCATTCGTCATCGGGTCCGCGGATTTCCCCGGCCTGTCCATCAGAGAAAGAGGACCTGCTTGAGCCGGGCCAAGGCGCCAAGCATCATGCTTTTTTTCTGGGCAGTTTGCCCTCTGGTAAACGTTTACATAACTATGGAAAATCACTATGTTTAATGTGTAAATCCACTACAAATGGCCATTTTCAATAGCTATGTTAGTTTACCAGAGGGTAAGGGTTTTGTTTTAATGATGTTGAGCTTAATTTTAATATATTTTAATGATGTTGAGGTTCTTCTTTTAGGTGTTGTTCATCATGTCTACTCAAGACATCCCGGGACCAAAATAGACCAAAGCAGACCAAAACAAGCTGCCAAACCCCAAACGAAAGTGAACCCATCCTGATCCATCCTGGCTGCCATGCTGACGTTGGGTATTCCTCCATCAATGGCTGTCATAACCAAGGTTTAGCTGGGCTGTTTGGGCCATATTTTTCAAACTTGCGGCAACTCTGATGAGCAGATCAGCCCAACCAAACAAACATCAGCCAGAGCAGCTAGTTGTGAAATCTGCCTTTACTCGTGTGTGTTTTTCTCTGTCCCCCCCAATGTTTGAGGAATGTTGTTGCAATGTCATCATACCATGTTTTGCTGATGAAATGTGGAGGGGATGAGATCAACAATTATCCAACATTTTGCTGTGCCAGAATGAATTTCCTCCTTAACATGACCAAAATCTCTGGTTTCCACTGCCAGAGCTGGAACAATTTTGACGAAGTTAAGCCGGTCAATGCGCTCTAAAACCAAATCCGAAATGGACCCAATGTCCGTTCTTCCGGCCTCCGACTGCCTTCTGGCCAGTACAACGACGACCTGCCAAGAGACAGACATTTTAGGGGGCCGTGCCATGATCATGTTGATTGTGGAAAAACCCAAGATGTTGCGCTCACTCGCAGTCACTCAGGATGAAAGCCGGGCAACTTCTGCCCCGAGAAGCAACCCGTTGCAAGGGTCTCTTTCGAATTGTTGTTCGTTTATCTTCGTTTTCTGCGATATGGGTCATTTCACGGTTTGCTTCGTCAGGCTGCGTCTGTGAATTTGCAAGGATTTGTTTGCCTTGATAATTCGTGCTTCCCCTTGCCGCAAAAGAGGCTGGATTGGACCATATTTTTAAAGATCACAAGGCTAATTGCCAATGACTTTCACCCTTTATCTACCTCAGCCATTCCAGCAATGAGTCCACATCAGGGGACATATATCCCAACACCTACTTTTTTTGGCCAATCCACCACTGTTCACCTCATTCGTCCCAGAGACCAATTTAGTATTGTTTCATTTCAGATACCTGTCTTTGTTTGGCAACTGATACGAATTTTGCATCCTGCCAGTTGAATTGGAAGACAATGGCCAAGAGAACTATAGGTTTCCTGACCTCAGTGAATAAGACAAGTCCGTCCACCCACCCCACCTCGTGCGTTGCGAGCGCGCAGCAGAAGAGGTCTGGCGGTGGGGTCAAACCGACCCATGCTTGCCATTGGGGAGATCATCGTAGGATGGAACATACCAAGGTGGTGCCACCGAAGTGATGTTTGTTGGTTTATAGCATGTTATAACCCCCAAAAAAAACCAGATAACCCACCACCCTCAAGAAATCGCTCGATCCACCAGACCGACTACGAAATTTGGGATGCCTTACCAAGAGCCAAAATCTACGGAACTGGTCTGGAAGATGTGACCCTCTGGTAAACGTTTGCATAACTATTGGAAAATCACCATTTTATAGCTGGGTAAATCAACTATCAATGGACCATTTTCAATAGCTATGTAACAAATTACCAGAGGGTACCCCTTCTGAGGGCTCAAGCAGTGGGTGTTTCGAACATCTACGGCCTCGGCCAGGGAGTCCCTACAGAAACCTTCGCTGCTTAAGCTTCCACAAAAATGACCCTCCTGGGAAAGCAAAAAAAAAGGGCATTCAAAAATCCCCATTTTCATTGGATTGGTTTAAGGGAACATTTACAGGAAAGCCCCATATATTTAATGGTAAAAACCCATGGGTTTCCGGTTCCGATTTTCCCAACAAAACCAATCCAATGACATTTGTGATTCTCCAAACAAAAAATGATGGCATTTCCCATGCTTTGATGACCGGAGGCTGAAAAGAAAAAGACGGCCCCCCGGCAACGGTTCAATGGGGTGACCATAGCCAGTGGATCCAGTGGACCAATGGACCCACGGCACCCCAAACTTCCAGGCGATTCCCGAAAAGATACCCACATTACCCGGCCTGGTAAACTAACAAAAAGCTATTGAAGCCATGGCCATAGAAATAGTGGATTTACCCATTGAAAATGGTGATTTTCCATAGTTATGTAAACGTTTACCAGAGGCTATTGGATTGGTTCAAGGGTGAAAAATCTATCATGAGGATTCAATTGCTTACTGACCACCGACATCCAAGCTATCATTGGAACAGTCTCGTTTGGCAGTTGGTTACATTAAATATCCATTATCTGTATATGTACAAAAAATACATAGATAGAAATATACCATGTATATGTGTGTATAAACAGTCGTATCTACAGGATACCGCAGTTTTTACTTTGACAGCGCCGAAAACCGTCCGTTGTCTCCCAGCACGCGTTGCTCCTGCTCGACATCGTCATCGTCGCCTGCCAGCTGGTTGCACTTTGGTGACAGCTGAGGGAGCATCCCTAGGAATGGTACAATAAGGGATACCGTTATATATATATATTCTTATGATATACTTATTATAGATGGTTTTTCTAGATGGTTTACCGTTCTTAATAGCATGGTGATTTAACCCGTTTCGCTAACTGTTAGTCATAACCAGAGGGTAATTATTACCCTCTGGTTATTAAACATAGCCATGGTATAGATGGCCCATAGAAATAGATGGTTTACCTGGGTTTACCGTTCTGAAAAATGGTGATTTTCCATGGCTATGTTAAATAACCAGATGGTAAATAATGATGGGGATATACCTAGAAAAAGATTTAACCATCAAGTTCGGAATATGGGAAAGCAGAAAAAGGTTCGGTTTCAATTCTCCTTAATCAATAGGATTTTGATGGTACCATTTACAATAGGGATGATCATCAATAGGACAATGGTGGTGAATCATCAACAAACGTGGCTGGCTGCACCTGCCGTGGGAGGCGAGCCTTGCCCCAAGGCTGCTGGCAAAGCCTCTGGCTCCTGAGGCTCCTGAGAAGCCACACAACCAGAGGATTTTTAGTGATTCAATGGTAACCTGGCTGAATGAAAATCATTCATTGACCTGAAAATAACTGACATAAGTTTCCCCTGCTTATTACTAACCATATCGAGATCTATAGTAGTTCAAGGGACCGAATCTCATGAAATATGATGTTGCTTCGATTCCCTTTTTTGTAGAAGTATGGCCAACCACCTCGGCTTGCCCGCGCCTGTTGGCCCGCCTTCTTCGTATGAGCTGAAAACATGGTGAAAATGAGGTATTTTAGCATTATGGTTGGAAGTACCATCTGGTCATCAAACGTTGCAATGGATCTTCCATTTCTAGTTGATTTTCCAACAGATAAAGCTCCATTGATGTGGGATTTCCAACTAGTCATGTTTGACTATAGCAAAGGGATCAAAGGGTAACCAATGTGAATCCCCATGGGAAAACCCGGTTGACATGGTGAAACTATTGAATTGAGCAGGGCATGGCTGGACCTTAGATGCATATCAGATATATAACCTAACAAATATGCATTGATATGGATTTATAATGACTTAAGTAGATAGAGTTCGTATACATGCATTATATCAAAACATATCAAAATATAACCGACATATACATTTCATTACATTACATTACAATACATTACATTATATTACATTACATTGCATTGCATTGCATTGCATTACATTACACTACATTACATACATACATACATATACATATACATATATATATATATCATTTACATATTTATAGCGTATGGAGTCGGCAGTTCTCGACCCTTCGGCGTTGAAATGTTGCCCCGTTTCTCTCTGTGAGTGTCCTCGTCGGTCGGTTCCGTGGCAGCGGCTGGAGATGTTTCGGCCATGGTCGGCGTTTTTGGGCTTAGACGATGGTCTTTTCGTGGTTGGTTACCCTCTGGTAAACTGACATAGCTATGGTATAGATGGCCCTAATCGAAACAGATGGTGTACATATGAAAAATGGTGATTTTCTAGTTCGCAAACTGTGAAATTACCAGAGGGTAATGTTGGTTAATGTTGGCTAATGTTGGTTAATACATAATGATATCCAAATAAAAAATCATTGAAACCATCTGAACATGTGTGCGTTTGTAGTCGGTTATAGAAGTTTATAGCTCATCTGGTAGCTTGTTATTGTGAAATATCATGAATGTGTATCTCTTTTTTGGGTTATTTCACCGAAGAAAAACCGAAGAAAAACCGCTTGGATTCACCGGTGTCCTGTTGTTTGGACAGCTCGGCTTTTTCAAAGCTTCATGGGTCGGGGAATGATCTGACACCGATGTCATGATAGTCATCATGTTTCCATCTCGAAAAAATCTGGCCAAAATGAATAGGGCCTCAGACATTCCACCAAAGGCTTCTAACAGGTATTTGCTGGTAATTTAACATAGCCATGGAAAATCACCATTTTTAGTTGGAAAACTCACTATAAATGGCCATTTTCAATAGCTATGTAACAAATTACCAGAGGGTATTTGCTGGGGATTTCTTTTTTTTTGGCGGATTGGATTCGAAGAAACCAACTCGTCGACATAAAAAAACAGACTCGACGACTCGCGTCACTTGAAACGTGCGCCTTTTTTTGGGGACGATCCTTGAGGTCCATAGGTCTTCGTCGCTTTTGGGATCTGAAAGCATCACTTGGGGCCAACCAGTTCACGTTTTTGGGCCGAAAACCAATGGTCTATGATCCATCCACAGCAACTTGATGTTTTTTGGGTGGCTTTCCCCATCGATGACAGTTCCATTGCATTACCAGAGGGTACTAACTGTTGCGAACTTCAATATTAGCCATTAGTTATTCTAAATAATCACCATAACCATTAGTAATAACCTATTAACCATTCATAATAAGCATGAGTTAAGCATTATATCGCCATTATCAACCATCATATCGCCATTAGTCGCATCATCTGTGACCTCCACAAAACCTTTTTGTCGAAAGCGAGTCGCTGCAGGTGCTGCCAATTTTGGCTCCTCAGGCAAAAAGACATCGGGGCGATCCAAAGTGATTCCAGGCATGAGTCAACTCGCTGGCTTCATTTATCTTCATTCCCAGATGCTCCATGTATGGAATATTTACCTACATTCTACATTTACCGCAAAAATTGCCCAAATGTAGGTAAATATTACATGGGATTTATACATGGCTTAGAACACGTTGCCAGCTACAATCTGTGGCATCAACCAAGGTCCAACCACGTCATGCTGTCAGCAACCCACCCGTTTTTTGAATCAAAACGCTACAATTACATCCCCATAAAATGAAGCCCGCCAAAAAAAAAGTGTCCAGTCATGATTTGTTTGTTTCTAAAGGGGGCACCCAAGAACAAAAACCAGTCTGAGCGACAGAACCTGGGAACCTGGGAAATCATTGGGAGGACATGACACGACTCAGTTGATTGAAAGGGATTCCGGATTCCAAACTCATGGATTGTGATCAAGTTAATAACCTCCGATATGATCATGATCCAACCAACTGAGTTTCCTGAAACTCAAAAGCAGCGCTGCCAAGCACCCACCATTTTCACACGCTGATTTTGCTACATCCACCACGGCAAAAATCCCTGGGCCAAACATGGCCAAACCAAAATCAGGGGTCAAATTATAGGGGAACAAAAAAACGAACTTCAACCTGTCAGCCATATGGCATGGGCCTAACTTCCGCTTTGACCCCTAGGAATGGATGGGTAAATAATACCCTCTGGTAAACGTTTACATAACTATGGAAAATCACCATTTTTAATGGGAAAACTCACTATAAATGGCAATGTTCAATAGCTATGTCAAATTACCAAAGGGTATTATCTAACTATAATGGTAAATACCAAACCAAGACCCTGATGAAAAATGGGTCCATTTGCCTGTCCGGGAGGCGTGGATCTGGGCTGTCTACCCTCCACCGACCAAAAGCAAGACTTGGCTGCGCAATGTCTTGCTTTTGATCACGTGAAGCAGCCCCACAATGACGATTCTTTCTGGAGCATATCATGTTCTAAAGTTTCGAACACTGGGTTTTTAGGGTTCTAAAAGTTCTGCCCATATTTTCAGAAAGAACCACAGCATTTTGCAGAGTTACTTCAAGACGCCCCCACTTATGCTTGTTGGTTTATAGACCCCATTAAGTAGTTCGGATATACCTACCATAAAACCAATCGTGAAATATGAATCCATTTCCACCAACTTGGCTATCATAGACCTCGCAAAAACACCAACTTGTGTTCACCACCTAAGAAAAGCCAGCGATCCCCCTGCGGATGCTATCGATGCATCACCTTCGCCAGCATGGCAGCTGCTTCCGTGCTGCAGCTTCGCAGCAGCTTCGCTGCCTCTTGGCACAGCTGCGCCTTCTGCGAGGCATTCACGGCAGCATCCAGCGTCGCCACAGTCCTCCAATGGGGGCTCTGAGATCTCGCGATCCGGGGTCCAAAATCGAAGATGGGGACGTAATGAGGACCAAAATTTGCATGGGGATTTGCCCTGTGTATGTATAGTATTGTATAGTCACTTTATGGTAGGTTGGTTTCTAACTAGATCAACTGGAGCTTGTAATATGTCACGTCATAAAAAACAGTTGGACGTGTTTAAAATCACCCAAAATTTGCAGGTTTCTCATCTTCAAATTCACGGCAAAGACGTAACCATCTTCCCAGAAAATACTCCCCAAACGACGTTCCCTCAGCAATGGGAATTCAAGTGGAAATCACAAGAGAAAAACCTCATCAAAACTCAGCAACTCCAGGGCTCAACTGCGTCAACTGCTGTCTCTTAGATGTCTCAAGGAGACGAAAGACTTGCTGCCACTGACCGCCCTTCTCGCACGCACGCACGGCCGCATGGCAGCTGACAGGCGACACTGTCGTGGCTGTGGGGCATTCCAGCACTCCGGAGAAAAGGATCAAAGCCCGTTGCCATTGACCTGCAAAAATGGGGGAGACACTGGGATGGGCTCCGGATTTTGGCTTGGAACATATGGGGAAAGTATGGGAAAGTGATGATCAACTGGTAGATTTGAGGTGTTTTCACCATGGAACTCACATGATTTGGACAGATTCCGCCTCCCTTCTCACACGCACTGATGGAAGCGTTGTAGCTGATGCTATCAGGTTTTACTGCTTCCCAAAGCATTGCGCCAAACACGCTCAGGGCTTGCTGCCATTGACCGCAAGATTCGCAGGCACTGATTACAGCGTTGTATGTTATTAGCTCTGGATCCAACGTCTCCCTCAGCATTGCCAAAAACAGCCCCAGCCCTTGCTGCCATTGACCTCCCTTTTCAGAGGCACTGATAGATGCATTGTAGCTGATAGTGTCAGGCTGCACCTTTTCTCGAAGCATTTCACCAAAAACACTCAGTGCTTGCTGCCATTGACCTCCCTTCTCGCAGGCACTGATTGCTGCATTGTAGCTGATAAGCGTAGGTTGAAGGCTCAATTCTGCTATAGCCCGGAAAGCAGCCATTGCCTGCTCCCATCGACTTGCCTTTTCGCAAGCACTGATGGCTGCGCTAAAGCTAATGACGTTTGGCTGCACTGTTGCATCCAATGCCGCCTCGAAAAGGTTCAACGCGTGCTCCCATTGACCTCCCTTCTCGCAAGCACTGATTGCAGCATTCAAACTGATGACATTGATTTGCACTTTCGACTCAAACAGTCCCCCAAACAGGCTTAGAGCGCATTGCCATTGACCTCCCTTTTCAGAGGCACTGATAGATGCATTGTAGCTGATAGTGTCAGGCTGCACCTTTTCTCGAAGCATTTCACCAAAAACACTCAGTGCTTGCTGCCATTGACCTCCCTTCTCGCAGGCACTGATTGCTGCATTGTAGCTGATAAGCGTAGGTTGAAGGCTCAATTCTGCTATAGCCCGGAAAGCAGCCATTGCCTGCTCCCATCGACTTGCCTTTTCGCAAGCACTGATGGCTGCGCTAAAGCTAATGACGTTTGGCTGCACTGTTGCATCCAATGCCGCCTCGAAAAGGTTCAACGCGTGCTCCCATTGACCTCCCTTCTCGCAAGCACTGATTGCAGCATTCAAACAAATAACATTTATTTGCACTTTCGACTCAAACAGTCCCCCAAACAGGCTTAGAGCGCATTGCCATTGACCTCCCTTTTCAGAGGCACTGATGGCGGCACTCACGCTAATCACATTCGGACGCACCGCTTTTGTTGGCATTGCCGCTAGACAAATCAGCGCCAGCAGCCACTGATGCCCCTTCTCGGAGGCGCTGAGAAGTGAACTGAAGGAATAGACGTTTTGCTGCACTTGTGCCTGCGGCATTCCATCCAAGATGCCTCAGTTGTGGTTTCAGTTAGAGAAAAATGCCAGTTTCGGTGGTGATCTCACCATTCATCCAATGTAGGTGGCTTCACCATTTCTGGAAATCATTTTCGCCTGGCAATGGCCGGTCCGCATTGCCACATTCATTGACTCATGTGTTGTTGACCAGATGCCCCATGTCAATGCTGGCGATCCATCTAAGATATACTTGGTGTTTGTGATTTTCAGTATGAACAATCCCAAACCATAGCTATCGCTGGCTTCACATACAAGATATATACTGAGTGCAAATCTGTTGTTGGCAAAAAAACACGTTTTTTTTGATTGCAAAATGTGCTATGTTTAAACAACAAAAAACAGTTGTTGCTGCTTCATCCACAAGTTCAGTGTTAGCTGAGTATATGTGTGCTCTCTTCATGGGTAAAAAATTGTTCATTAACTACAGCCAATGAAGGGGGGGTACCCGTTGGTGGTTGAGACCCATGCAGGACATCTTGCACAATCCGCCTTTGTTTCCGGTATCTCATCCAAATCCAAGATGATCATCTCCGATTGGAAAAAAAGTCTCACCAACGCCTCGCGTGGAAGTGAGAAAACCACTGATAAGTAGATATGTTTCACGATAGTCACCCCTAATATCCCAACAAACCTGAGTTTTCACGATATTGATCTTCCATGGTCAAACAATCCATATTTTTTGCCACCATGGCCCAGATACCAAGCGCCACCTTCCACTGCTTCCCCTTTTCACAGGCACTGACTGCGGCGCTGTCCCCGAAGACGTTCCGCCGCAGCCGCCGCAGCTGCATGCCGTGCAGGGCCTGGCAGGCGCCCTGCCAGGACTGGGCACCGGCCAGGGACGACAGCTGCCGGGTACAGGCGCGCTCCATGCAGGCGTCATGGCGCATGGCAATTGGGGGGAATTGTCCATGTCATACCAAAATCAACCCATTTTCTATGGAATATTTGTATATGGAGTATCAAATACTATGGAGTATCCTATCCATATGTTGGTAATTTTTGTATGACATTGTATTTTACTCAATCCCACTATAAATATATATATATACACATAATTGTATATGGAGTATCAAATACTGTTCATCAGTTACCATTTTCCTGGCATATCCAAGTGGGGACAGAGTGTTGGGAAGAACGCTTCGTTTCGTCAAAAATGTCGTTGCCTTTATCGCCGCAGGGGCAACTGAGCCAGGGACCAACTGAGCCAGCGTGGATCAGCCAGCCGTGGTGGGGCAGCGAAAAGGCATGTTTTTTCTCCATGTGTTTATCAACAAATATGGTGATTTCAGATGATTTCAGTAGGCCTAGTAGGTGGGTGGAGAACAAACATATCAAACATGAGTTTTGACCAAGAAGAACAAGGCCTTCAAATAGATAGCTGCAGATTCAACCAGTGAACAGTCAAGGTGGGGATTCAATTTGCCCAAAACTAAATCCATTAGGTTAAGTATACACAAAAGCGAGAAGGAACCAGCATGCAACTAATTCCTTCTCCCTATTACTAAAACTCGCCTAAATAGTAAAAACAGCCCCAGATTATTTGTTTTAGGAGATTTCAAATTGGTCAATTTGACTTTTAATTGATCCTCTTTACAAAACAATTTAAAAATCAAGGTCCATTTGAAGGTTCTAGGGGCAAGCTTCTCTCCCGAATACTAAACACCTCTTCATAATGAAAAACTACCCTAGGTTTTATTATTTGGGGGACGTTTAATATAAGGGTGAAGGGCTCATGTGTAAGTCCCAACCTAAATTATAGTCTCCTGGGGGGGGGATTGGGGGGTGTATTAGGAGGACGGGGAGTACCTAAATTCAATCTATCCCGTCCGCCAACTCCCCCGAGACCCAGAATTGGGCCTCCACTGCAGAAAGTCAGGCCCTGGCACCACTAACGTCTAAGTAACCAAACATGACTGGGGGTAATTTTAGCCCATACCAACCAAATGGTGAAACCCAATGCCATAAAGCCCATTGGGGATGCACTCTTGTTAGGTTTGCAGGATTACTCGTTTGTGATACTTTCTGGAATGCAGTATCCAGATGCAATCTGTACTCATAATCCCTATATATCTAGTGACTATCATCTCCATACATGATCATACATGTATATTACATATGTATATATATATATATTCATTTATCTATCTATCTATTTATTTATTTATATTACATATATATATATATATATATATGGTCACCCCCCCTACGGCCCCCCGACATGCTGTTTGTACTGTGATTTACAATATAACATGTTCATTTTTTATGTTCACATTTTGCGGTTATTTGTACATATTCATACGTACATCTTCATACAAACAAAAACACAACAATATTCTGATACTCTTTGGGGAGGATCCCTGGCAGAGAATTAAAAAAATCATTGAACCAACCAAAAAAAATTTGGAGACTCTTTGGGAGAAAACCAAAAAAAAACAAAACAAAAAAAACAAAGAAACCAAACCCATTGGAGATCCTGCAATCCCCATGGTTCTGTTTTTTTGTTTTTTTTTGTGTTGTTTTTTTTGGGGGAGGTTTTTTGTTTTTTTATTATTTTGGTTTTGTTTAGCCATTGCAGAAAAACCAAGCAAAAATTGTCAATGGCTGCAAGGCAGTGAGAGAACCATGGCACATGTGCAGCGTCAGTGGTTGCAGAATGCAGTGAAAAACCGCACTCCCAGGGTGCCCCCTTCTGGACACGTTTTTATTGTTTTTCAAAACTGTAATCACATTAAAGTTTAAACTACAAATGAAGCTGTGTTCATGTCCACTAGAGAGCATGTATTGCTTGAAGAAATGTCCAGGTGTTCACTCTACCTTAGATAAATGCTACTACATTGCCCCTTCAACAAAACACAATTTCTGCAGAATATGCTAGATGACATCAACATAATTACAACATCCCCATACCTGCCAACAAATGCAGTATTCAAAACAAACATATCCTTCTGAAAAAGAGTAATCTTCCTTTGGAGCAGTGCAGTGTGTTTTTGCAGGGACAATATCCAAACAAAATATGAAGTATTCCTTGAAAAGTTGCACCATGCCCTTTGAAGGAGTGCAGTGTGCATTTCCAGATGTTTAACCCTCCTTTCAAAGGAGCAGTGACCCTTTTCAAAAAATCAATATTTTTGCATGATATATGCAGTATTATTGACATAGGGCATCACTTTCAAAAGCGCAATATGTTTGAAACTGTGAGCACTACCATATGTTCAAACCATGTTTGATTGTCGTAAGATTTAAAGATGCACATTTAGAATGTCAATATCAAAATCAGTTCTACACATTCATTGGCTGCCCATGTTTTTGCATTTATTCAACACCGTTTTTAAAGATCACATAAACAAACAAAATTGCCTAGTTTGTGTCCCAAACCCCCCAAGTTTCCTCCAGTGATACCTGCATTTTGCCATAGTTTTTACATTGTTTTCTAATGGTACCACAGGCCCAAAGCAAATAATAAAATCAACCAAAAGCAAGTTTGCAACCCCTAAAGTGGGAGAACTGGCAAAGAGTTGGGTCTAGGTCCTTAGCCCTTCAAAAAACCAACAACGAACCAGAAAACAAGAAACCAAAAAACCAAAAAAACAAAAAAAACAAAAAACAAGATTGCACACCCCAAGGGGGGGGAGTAGTGGCAGAGAGTTGGGTCTTGTCATTTTGGTTTTCCACAAACTCAAGGACCTGGACCTGGAAATCTTGTAGTGTAGGCCTGGGGGGGGGGCCGGGGGGGCTGAGCATATATATATGTGTGAAAGTTGGATCGTATCCAATGATTGGTGCAAAACAGGCACTATCGTCAAACATGAAATTCAGCCATTGTCTGGGCTTGCAGAAAAATAGGCGGACTTTCATTAGCAATACAATGTGGCTCTGTCCAAAAAATAGGGATATCAAATCTATCTCAAGGAAAACGATGATTCAATACTTGGATACTATTGGATTTAGGAGATCCCATTGGACTATTTGGCTTGTGACTTGGGAATTTGGATGATCATACCGTCCAAGTCTTCTTGGTATTCCTAGTTTTGCCACATGCACATAGCCACCAGCAATTTGAGGATTTCGATTGTAATTGGACATTGAACCAACAAAGATAGGGATTTCATAGATGAGCAATCTAGTCCTTTTCGGGATCTGAGTACGAGCCCATTGACAGGTTGTAGAAGCCTAGGGAATGCCCCATTGTGGATGGTTATATATATTATCAAAGGAAGTTGGGAAGCAATACTTCCGAGTTACGAATGACTTTTACTTGATGCAATTGACTATGATGAAGGGTGGTAGATCACAGAACAATACATCATCTAACAATACATAACAAAAGAATAAGAAGCTATGCCACAGGGTGGTGACGAAGGGAAGTGGTGAGGAAGGGAAGTGGTGAGGAAGGGAAGTGGTGACGAAGGGAAGTGGGGAGGAAGGGAAGTGGTGAGGAAGGGAAGTGGTGACGATGGGAAGTGGTGAGGAAGGGAAGTGGTGAAGAAGGGAAGTGATGATGAAGGGGGGTGGTGAGGAAGGGAAGTGGTGAGGAAGGGAGGCGGTGACGATGGGAAGTGGTGAGGGGGAAGTGGCGAAGAAGGGAAATGATGATGAAGGGGAGTGGTGACGAAGGGAAGTGGTGAGGGAGAGAAGTGGTGAGGAAGGGAAGTGGTGACGAAGGGAAGTGGTGAGAAAGGGAAGTGGTGAGGAAGGGAAGTGGTGACGATGCGAAGTGGTGAGGAAGGGAAGTGGTAAGAAGGGAAGCGATGATGAAGGGGAGTGGTGAGGAAGGGAACTGGTGAGGAAGGGAAGCGGCGACGATGGGAAGTGGTGAGGAAGGGAAGTGGTGAAGAAGGGAAGTGACGATGAAGGGGAGTGGTGAGGAGGGGTAGTGGTGAGGAAGGGAAGCGGTGACGAAAGCAAGTGGTGAGTTGGGGAGGAAGCCGGAGCACGAAACCTTGTGTTTTTCCGTGTAAAGTGGCTGCAGCCGGCGATGGAAGGTACCTCGTGTGTGCGGCGGTTGCGGCTGGGGTCGTTTGGTTTCTTCTATGTGTTTTGTTTGCAACAATGGTTGTTCCTGTGTGCGTAGTTCTTTGCGTTTCTTGAAGCTGTGGTGCCAGATCGCATTGGAATGGCTGCATGAATGTTGCATGCTGTGTGCTGTGGGGAGGAAGCCGGAGCACGAAACCTTGTGTTTTTCCGCGTAAAGTGGCTGCAGCCGGCGATGAAAGGTACCTCGTGTGTGCGGCGGTTGCGGCTGGGGTCGTTTGGTTCCTTCTATGTGTTTTGCAACAATGGTTGTTCCTGTGTGCGTAGTTCTTTGCGTTTCTTGAAGCTGTGGTGCCAGATCGCATTGGAATGGCTGCATGAATGTTGCATGCTGTGTGTTGTGGGGAGGAAGCCGAAGCACGAAACCTTATGTTTTTCCGTGTAAAGTGGCTGCAGCCGGCGATGAAAGGTACCTCGTGTGTGCGGCGGTTGCGGCTGGGGTCGTTTGGTTCCTTCTATGTGTTTTGCAACAATGGTTGTTCCTGTGTGCGTAGTTCTTTGCGTTTCTTGAAGCTGTGGTTGCAGATCGCATTGGAATGGCTGCATGAATGTTGCATGGGCTTTGTTTTGGGGAGGAAGCCGGAGCACGAAACCTTGCGTTTTTCCGCGTAAAGTGGCTGCAGCCGGCGATGAAAGGTACCTCGTGTGTGCGGCCGTTGTGGCTGCGGTCGTTTGGCTCCTTCTATGTGTTTTGCAACAATGGTTGTTCCTGTGTGCGTAGTTCTTTGCGTTTCTTGAAGCTGTGGTGCCAGATCGCATTGGAAT